CAAGTTCCCAAGGTTTGCACATAATTGGTACTTTATCATGTTGTTTGGCATGAGCATTGTGTATTTGGCCCTTTGAGATGGGTTGTTCATTTAAAATACCTGAGATGTTTATAAAATAGGGTGGTCAGGTGGAGCCTGAGCCAGAGAAATGTTGTGATTTTAGGGGCGATTCAGATCTTTGTGAATGATTTTTTCATCCATACTCTAACTATGAAAATAACTTGGCTGTAGGCTTATTTATATGGCTGATTTAAAGAGTCCGAGCTGATTTGACTGAAATTTAAAGCTGTCACTATCGATATTTTTATATTGACATTGGATGAAATGATTATGTGTATAAAGAGCATTCTGTTTTGTTTTTGTGGCCTTTACTCTCACTGCTTTCATCAGCATCATTTCCAGATGCAGCAGGCAGCTGTTTTCAGAAAAGAAATCTGACGTTACACCATCTGCTCAGCCAAATCGTTTACTTTACTTTATCTCAACTATGTGAAATAAAGAAAAGAAACATATTAGAGTTTGGAAACTTGCTAATGTTTGACAAAAAAAGTATCGCCTTTCCAAAGTAGATCAGTTTTGTGTTGATCATCTATTTGATTTGTCAGTTTATAAATGAAAGTGGTTTTGTTTTTACAAACACAAGGAACTTGGAAAAATGATCAGTGTTGGTACATGTTGCAGCAGGCATGCCCATGAACAATCACTCAGATTCATTATTTAGGGGTGTGACAAAATGTTCTTTTTTTTTTTTTTTTAGACGGCTTCAGGACGGATACGTAAGGAACCAGTTACATAGAGAATGAGCCCCATGGCCTGTATCTGAGCCCTCTGGTGTCCGATTGCCTCACTGCTGAGTCATGGACCACAGCAGTGTCGCAATACTGGGAAACCGTTCTTTTGACAATCGTGTTCTGCTCTCAGTCAAACCAAAATTTGAATTTATGCTTGACATGTTTATGGTGAATCATGATTTTAGCTGAGATGCACACGCCCATAGATTTGCATGTGGGTGACACATCATGTGATACTGTGCTCTTTTTTTTCTAGTGCTGTGTAAAGTGGATATGAGTGAACTGGAGAGCCATTCCCTTCAGATTGAGAATTTAAGACCGGCCTTTGGTTGTGAGATGAAAATAAACTCTGTGAAGAAGGAGAAGATCACAGTCACATCCAACAGTTACCTGTCTTTCCAGGACTGCTCGTCTGATGATGTACAAGTCACTGCCGTGAGAGTCATAGGTGAATGCAGATTTATATTTGTAGCTGGAGCTTCCCTTGTTCTGGAAAATGTACTTTTCAATCGATTTTAAAGCCTTCATACTTGGTTTAATTTCATATCGTAACAAAAACGTCATGACGTTAGCTTTCCACTGATATCACATCAGAAAAGACTTGAAAAGCTCATTGAAATTTGTCAGTGCAGTCACGTTTTGGAAAATAGAAAATATTTTGCAACAGTCTCTTCAGGCACAGCAGAGGGGGTCCAGGCTGTATTAAGTAGCTTGAATGCTGTAATCATTTGGCAGCGAATTGTCCAAATATTATTTGTACACTGTCACAAAGCATGCTCAGTGTGATAAGGAAAATTTTATAAACCATTTCACTGCAACCTTAAAATGATTAAACCTAACATTTGCACTTTACAAGATCATAACTTAGACCTCTCCTGTTTTTGCTTCAGTAATAATCACTTCTCAGTCCCCAAACATTTTCTTAAACAACAAGACCTTGAAAGTTCTTGAAAAGTCTTTGGATCTGATGTCACAGTGAATCCTAGCAACACTCAAAGTGAGTGATTTCTGAACCCCTCTTGATTTGCCTCTATTTTCATATCAGAGTGTCATCAACTCAAAGACTGCCCGAAGACTCCAGTCCGCCTCTCGGTGCCCGTGCTCCCGAGCTGTCTCCCCTTCCCTCTGAGCAGTGTGACCTGGAATCTCCAAGCTCCTCTGTATGGCACGGTGGAGCTGACCTCTCCCAATAGGCCCCTCAAGCAGTCCCTGCCTGGGCAGCCATGCAATGACAGCATCATTATCAAAGTGGCTGAAAAGGATGGCATGGCCATTGGACACTTCTGCCCTCAGGGACCCATAGAGAAGGTCCAAATCCACAACTATACGTCTGTCACCGTGTCCAGCGCGGAGGGTAAAGAGCTGAAGATGTCTTTCAAGCATGTACTGAATGCCAGTTTCAAAGCGGCGATATCAGGTAATATGCAGCTTCAGCTGAATGAAGTAAATCAATGAATGTTTTTCTGTGATATTTAATTTTCTTTTCCTTCTAACTCCTATTCAGAAAGATACCTGTTCACTGTATCTTCAAAAAAAGACACCCCTGTCCTTTTGGCTACTCCTCCAGTCCCCCCAAACATGGAGGCTCACCTGGTGTTTGCCAACCTCAGCCAGCCAAAGTGCCACAACCACCACACGGACATCAGCGTGAAGAAGGTGAACCACGTGAAGTTAGACCACATACACAGGGGGGATGAGGAGGCCAAGAGTGAGCTCATTGTCTCTGAGAGTTTCTACCTCAACATGTCCAACTGTAATCCCAAAAGAGGACACTTCAGTGTCATCACCAAGATCACCCTGCAGAATAAGAACAACAGTAAGGGGAACTGTAGCATCAAATGTCATTGCTTTCATCACTCCTTGGTGTAGAGTCACATGACAGGGATCTATAAAATATGGGGTATTATATTGTGGGATTGTGATCAGAATGTAATGTATGTGTGATATTTTCAGATGTAAAGTGATTTGCACTATATAACAAATAGGGAGCGACACTGCTGTGGTATTCTTTTAACACCAGTGTGCTAGCTAGCATTGTCATTGTAAGCATGTTAGCGATTAGCTCAACACACACAGAGCTCCAAGTACAACAGCAAGATAAATGAAAGATTGCATCTGTTGTTTTCTCTCATTTAGACCTGCTGACTATAATCCTGAGTGTGGTGGCTGCTGTCGTGGTCATTGTTGTTATCGTGCTGGTCTGTGTGGTGATGAAGTGAGTGCATCAGCATTATTTTCTATGTTGAAAGTTTATTTTCTGTACTTTTTTAGGAGATATAATAATTAGGTCTCTTTCCAAATAGCTTGTTTATGTATTGTCACTGCTTTTTGTGAGTTCTTACAGTACCTCACTCCACCTTAAAATGTTTGTACTGTTATCTGGACAACTAATAGTTGTACAAGAGTCTGTAAATAAGTTTTGAACTCTTCACTTTTCTTGCCAAACAGAAAGAAGAAGAAGAAGAACAGGAAGAAGAAGCCGAATTATCAGGTCTCCATCTACAATTCAAATGGTACCAACTTCCCTAAAACACGTGACCAGAATGAATCCCATGTGTACGCCTCTATCGAGGACACGCAGGTCTACACCCACCTGGTGACACAGGATGCAGACGCCCACATCTATGGAGAGTTTAACACGTCGCCTGTCGCTGGACACACAGACTCACAGAAACCAGTGGTCCCGAAAGACACTGATGCTGACGACATGACGGTCGGGGTTTATATCCCTTTTCGATTCTCATCTCAACAGGCTCCTCCACTTCCCAGCAGGCCTCAGAGCCAGCTCGTGGTCGACACTGAGATTTACCAGGCTGAAGAGCAATGTGAGGAGGAACATTCTCCAAACTTGGGACCACAGCTGTAGCTAGAGGAAGAGTACTGAGGAGGAAACTGGATTCAGCTTTCTGCTTTTCACTTGACTTACTTGAACTATGAGATGTTCATTCCCTGGCATCTGTGTGATTAACTGCTGTTCAGCCGTACAAGAAGCTTTGTTTTCTTCTTTATCATCCCCTTTATACCAGTTTTTATACCCCTAGAGATCTTGTGTTGCTTTTAGGCAATGCATGTCTTTCATTTGAGATGTATGGTGTGTGTAGCTTTTATACATATTATGGATGTTTGCACAGGAGCAAATTTGTGTTTATTTTCATGAGATCTTCTGTTTTTATCACTGACTAGAGAGGACTCTGCTGCTGTTGCAATACATTGCATTTTTATAGCATCATCAGAACATTGCAGTGGATTGCAACAGCAGGGTATGCTCATGGAGTTGCCTCTCTGAATGTATTATCACACTGCTTTTGCCCATGCTATGAAGAATTCTAGATATCATTCCACTATAACTGTGCCTTGCAGAGAAGTCCACACTCTGTTTAGCATCTCTGAGTTGTATTGTGACATTTGTGGTCCTGACTGGCATAAATAAAAACTAGTTGTTTTGAATACCGATACTTTTGGAAATCTCAAGACTGATCTGTGACTTTTTTGTTTTTTCCTTATCAATTAAGATGAATGAGAATCACTTCTTAGCGAGGGTTAAATTGGGCCGAATTATTCAGAATGCTGAATAAGTTGTTACACTCCATAAAGCACTCACAGGACTGCAGGAACTGGCTGCCATCACATTGGTCAGTTCATTTTCTATTGTGGTCGCATTTATTAAATAACAGTTGGTCTCACATCATGAAGCTTATGTGTGATACTGTTTGAGGCTCTCAGAACAGTGGAACAAATCAAATGTGTCAGCTCAAAAGAGCTGGCATATCTGGTCAAGTCTGCCTTGTACAATATTCTGCCCTATGTGGATCCCGCAGTTATTTCAATCACTTCCCCTCTGCAGAGTTAATGAGCTGATTGGCCATGTCTGCGAGATTTTCAAGGCTTTATGTGCCAACACAAAAATAGCTGGGCTCAAACCACAGACCAAACAAGGAGTTCAGAAAACCTCACCAGCAGCAGATGACGTACAGGCCCAACTCCCAGTGGAGCCAGCCCCCAATGTGAAGAAAACATCAGAAGTTGTCCAAGGAATACTTAAGAGAAGAGGTGGACCAGCTGGTAGAACCACTTTTAAAAGACATGTCACACTGAGTGCAACTTACTACAACTGTAGTCTTCTTTGGAAATTAAGATTCTAGCAACAGACATATCTGCCATGATTGTCTGACACATTAAGAGTCAGCAAAACACAAAGCACCCACAGCAGCACACAGCAACTGTGAAACGCATTCAGATAAAAAACCTTGTTGCACATTACTGTGACCCAGAAATTTCAGAAGATTTCATCTGAGAACAGCCACCCAAAATTCAGATGTGATTCGGTTTTAGTAGTTCTCCTTTTATGAGCTGGACTCGTTACATTAGCATTTTCCCCTCTGATAAGCAAAAGATTCACATTTTAACATATTTTGAACTTGAGCATGAACAGAATCAGAGGGTCATGCCAGAGGAAACACATGTTTATTAAGATAATGCAATATGAGCAGCATAATATGACATTCAGAAATGGAAATAAAAGTGTCACAGAAAAGCTGCTGATTACTGTTACTCAGCAGAGAAATATGAGAGAAGAAAGATGCAGCATGTTATTTTCAGTATATTGCATACATGTACCTGATAAATGTTCCACTCTTTTGTGCAAGCTGTTCATATGAGTGTTTATCTGCACAGAGTGTTGTCAGGGAGCAGCCCTCAGATGATATTGAACTCACACACTGAGGCCTTTTCAGCTCGGCAGCTCTCATCAAACCATTTCCCGTTGGCTGTAGCAGAGAGGATGGCACAGTTCTGGCTGCGCCCTCCGTCTGGCTGCAGGGTGATCTCTGTTTCCCAATTCTTGAAGCGCACACTGGACCCTGACTGGTCCACCCAGTGGCCATCGGTCACCATGTCATTGATGCCCAACCAGATGTGCTCCTCGGGGCCAATACTCTGTCGAACATAGCTGTAGAGCTGGTCATTCTCATCTCCTGTCAGAGGGGTGCTCAGGCTGCCTCCTTTGGCGATGCAGTCATCGCTGGCTGCGTGGAAGGTCTTCTTCACTGGGTTAGCCAGGAAACACTTGCCAAGGATCTTTGTGCCTCGCAGGCAAACTGGGGAAAATATGTGATAGTGTTGCTCAGATGTCTTTGTTGTCAAAATATGGCTGTAAAATTAGTGCAATACAAGCTACCCTTCCCCTCCCCCCAGTCTTAATGGTTCTGTTTTACATACATCATGTTTGTAGTGTAGTGAAACATACTTTAGATGAGTAGTCACATGTGGGATTATGTGCATCAGAAAAAGTCAATTGATATGTGTGAAGCAGTTTCTCTGCAGGAACAATACCTGACTGTAAAGCTTGCTGCTCTTTCAACAAATTCAGGTCTTGAACAATGTTATTTATCTGTTTCTTCAACTCCTCAATTGCGGTGTTGTTCACGGAATCTGAAAGACCCAAAAGGTCTGAGTTTATTCAGATGTATATCAGTAGTGCATTCAATCAGCATTACTGATAAAGTCTATGTTGTTCCGTAAAAGTTATTCAGTTTTACCAAGTGAGGACATTGCTTACATTTACAAAGTTAATATCGTGTCCTACCTTTCTTGCCATTCCTTTTCCTCGAGGAGCTCTGCTGGAGTGTACAGTATGCCAGCAGCAGGAGAAGGCAACACATCAGCCAAAGGCCTCTAGCATCCATTACACTTGAAAAAGCACTTTAAATTCACTGTAAAGAAACTGTTTTGGTGCAGCACCACAACAAGCTCCTCACAGCTCTGACCACTGGCCAAACTGTTGTTTTACACACACACAGCTGCATGAGGAAATCTTATCTCAGAGAGGAGAAATGTTTTACAGATGTTTAACAGCTGTTGGTGCTGCTTTTGAAAGACTACCAGGAAGCAGAGCCGTGCAGTGTGTAACAGCATTCGGACAAGTGTGACTCCGGTTCCATATGTTTTGTGATGAATTGCAGGGAGGCTTTATCTGCCCACGCGTGTTGTGTTATATTTCTTACGTAGATAGAATCTGAAGAATTACATTTTTACCAAATGTCTGTATTGGTTTGAATTAAATGTTCCACGTGATATTTCATAGATGCTTGGTAATTGATCTGTGCATCTAATCTTTTGTTTTCCTGTCAAAGGGTCTCTGCTGTGTTTGCGCTGAGGGCTTCAAAAGGCCAGAGGTTGCATGTTGGAGCGTTTCCTCCAGAGCCAACATCTGGATCTGCTCAGTGAGCTAGAGGCGGGGCAGAGGACATGTGGCAGGCACTTACACAATGAAGAAATACTATTGTGAAATGAAAAGTGTGTTTAATCCTTTTTCTGAGATGAGTCTTCAGTGGCCTCTGTCAGCGATGACACATCTGACTGGCCACGGCTCTAAGTCAAGTTCAAGTCGAGTCCCCCTTACTCAAGTTAGTCATCGAGGTCTGCATTAAAAACAGCGGACACAGCTCTCACCATCTTGTATTCTGAACTTCCGTCTCCAACTCAATGTGTTCGAATGCAGTCAATGCTCAAGTCTGAGTCCAAGGCATCAGTGCTCAAGTCGAGTCACGAGTCCTGAAAATCTGGACTTGAGTCAGTCTAGAGTGCCACAATACTGGCTGGAAATTGAGAAAATGAATGTCATTAATGTGCTTGTCATTTGCATGTGTATTATGAAACATGTTACGACACAGGGGTTGATTTAATCAATGTATTTGAAATAAATATTCACAAAATAACAAGGAAGCAGGTACTTAAAGTAGCCCAGTAATACATCTGTTGAAAATAAGCATTTATAATGTACAAAAGTTCAAGCAAAGGTTAAAGGCAGCTTGCGGTTACATAGAGATTACCAGTGCCCCTTTGTGGTGCATGCTGCCATGTGCACAACAGGCAAGTCGACACTTGGGGCTCTGATTCAGAGATAGTGCATGGATCAAAAGTCACTCAGATGCATAGTTAGTTCATTTCAGCCCAGACTTCATCACCTTGACCATTAACACTTCATCTTCCACTGAATAATAATGAAGATGTGCGTGGTGCACTGCTGAGATGACAACACAGAGGAGCAAACAGCAGCTACATGGAAGGCTGTGCTGATTTGTGTGATGGTTTTGCACATAAACATTGGTTTAAGGAAGCTAATTAGTTATTACAAATGTTTCTATCTGTATCATCTCTGTTTGACATGCTACAGGAACACTTTCGTCCTGGGGATCATTAGAGTATTCCATTATCTTAGTCTTTTAAAACTGTTTTATACAACCTATTACTGCAACGTCTGTTCAACTTGCTTTGTGCATTTGTTCAATCATAGTTTTCAGTGGGCACTTTAGGTAAATACAAAGCTTTGTAGCTCAGTACTTTCCAAACAATGCAGCTCCCGTGTTGCTACAGTCAAATGTTTTAGGACACTTTCATTTTTTTCTGTTATTAGTGCAATTCAACAGCCAAACACACCTGTGACATTCATTCTATAACCAAAAATTGTTGGGATAGACAGCTCTGCTGCAGAGGTTCCCACATGTGCTGGCCTTGCTTTGCTTTTACTCTTCACCTGGAACATCTGGACACTGTGCTGCTGCTCCCTCATTTGAAGCCTATGTCTTGTTCTTTTCTTCTACACAGCCTGGAGGTGCTTTCTGGGTCATTATCCTGCTATAGGATAAAGCCATACAAAGACCTGCCTTATTGTACAGGATGTATTAACAGTCCTTTCCAACACTGCCTTTGTACAGTTAAAATGTGTTGTTGTTTGTAACCAACAAGAGCTGGAACACCTGTGGAAGGCCTGTTTAACATTAACATTTAAATACATTTTGTTTTTGGAACCCCCTGTTTACTTCATAGATTTATTAATTGGACCTCAATGGCTTAAATGTCAAAATAACTGGAAAAACTGGGGTGTTATAAATCTTTTGAGTGGTAGATATACACTAAATATAAATATTTCTCAATTTATCATTTCAGTATACTTTTCCCACAGTGCAATAAAGTTAAAAACATGAAAGTAAAAATTCATAGGAAAAGATTTGCAAAACCACCACTCCACAAAAAATAAAATGAAGAACATAGCGTTAAAAAGATAAAATTCATAGGAAAAGATTTGCAAAACTACCACTCCACAAAAAAATAAAATGAAGAACAAAGCGTTAAAAAGACGAATCTTGAGGTAAAAACATGCTAAATTAAGTGCATTTCATGTTTCCATGAAAATACAATGCGTCCTCTTCATCCTGTTGCCATGGTTATGTTTAGGCACACTCCCACGGGGCTATGTTGGACAAATCACTGCAACAAACACAGATGAATATTAGCAGAGATATGAGTGACCGCAGTATGAGGTGATGGCAAAACAATAGCAGTGATAAGGAGGAGGGAAAAAAACAGTCGACTGCTAAATATGTGCCAGTGAAAATACACTGAATCTTAACAAACCTATCTCAGACATTTGTTGGGTTATTGGAAAGATCATTACTTGCAGGCAAGTGCAATCCTGATAACCAGTACTCATTGGGGTATGCAGTGCTCTGATGAGTTTGGCAGCGGGTCACTGTCAGTGAGTCTACACACTAACAGGAATCAAATGTGCTGCAGACAGTGTGTGAGTGAGGGGACAGAACATCAGGGTCAGGGTCAGACTGCAGGGGGCGCTTTCCCACTGTGAGTGACAACACCACAACAGGGCACATCACATGTCAGTGCCACAAACCTCTGTCCATCGCTCACTTCAGAGCTAGCCAGTGGAAGGCAGCGATAAATTAGGCCAAGCAGAACGCAAAACGCACAGAAAGAAAGCATGACAGAATGGAAACGGAATTAAATGAAAGAAAGGACAGACTGAAGACGCTGACGGTACTTAACTGGTTGTTTGTACACCACATTTACAGTACAGTATCTTACAGTGACTGTAACTGTCAGAGGTTTGTATTTGAAGTTGAAACTTGAAAGTGATGTCTTCTCTCCAGGTTTGCAGTTACTGATGGAAACTTTAAGACTGAATAGCCAAATGGCAATAAACTACCAAATATATATATGCTTTTTACATTATCTACAGTTAGGTCCATAATTATTTAGACAATTTTCGTACTTGGCTTTTGGACAAACTCATCAAAAATTGGGGGGAAATGGGGAGCTGTATAAAAACAACATCTTGACTGCTTGATTTTAAGTTTACTGTGGTGGTGTACAGAGGCAAAAGTACAAAAATTGTCTCTGTCCAAGTATGGGCCTAACTGTATAATTATTTTTAACATACACATTTTAACAATATAACAAAAAAAGCTATACTTTATGGCAGTCAGCTGTCATATTGTTACTCTCAAATGCCGTACCGAGTGACAACAATGCAACTTAAGTAGACATAGTAAACCTGACTAAAAACAATGACACGTTCACAGTGATGAACTGGACGGATGGACATCAAGCAGGTTTGATAAGTTGTCAGACTTAAGTATAGATGATTTGTAATAAATGGGAAACCCTACTGTTTTGGTCTTTTAACTTTACATACTTGGCACAGTTACACGTGATCGGTCATTGATACCTGTTTAACAGTGGACTAACACACCTGCACCATGTCAGGTCACCAAAAACTCACCTTTGAGAATGTAGTCTGTCAGGAGACTGGGCACTTTGTCACTGTCGTCTCTCATAGCTTGGAGAACTGAAAAGCAGATATACAGGAGTGAATGAATAACTCAGCGGTGTCACCACAAACCAGACATCATGGTGCTGATGAAAAAAAAACATATACTCTTGGTCAGGATCTGGAGGTCCTCGATTGAAGGGGGGTGTCCTTTTTTCTCATAAGGGATGACTGTGGTCAAATACTGTAAACCATTAGGAGAAAAACAAGGAGATTACAAAGACAGAACACTTAATGCATGAACGCTGGAGGAAAACAAAACAGTCGGACTTGACATGCAGGATCTGGTTAGCGACTGTTGAAAGGGAAGTTAATTGAGATTAAGGGTGTTTCTGTGGAAGGATGCTCCTATTAAAGTGAATATTCTCAGTGCAGAAAACAAAGATAAAACTGAGCAGCTGAGAGAGAAATGGGCAGTAACCTGTCTTTCATTGCACTCGCGGCCAAATGTTTGGCGGAAGCTGTTCTGAATGACAGATGAGAGTCCCTCCATGCTGAAGCGCTGAGGAGGACAGAAGTAAAGTGAAGAAGCACAAGAGAGATCGAGAATGAAAACCATTTCAGGACAGTCCAGTTGGTTGGAAAAATTAAATAAAACAGCAAAAACTGCAGCAAACAGTGGAAAAGAAAGATTTTAATATAACACATGAAGGAAATATCACCATGACAATTCAAGAGATCACTAAAGAGAAAAGGCACTATCTTGAAACATGACTGTGAGAATGAGGTACTGACTGATCGGAGCGTTTTCTCTATGTTGCCCTGTGGCGTCTCAGCTCCCCCTTTAAGCTTCTTCTTCTTCAGCACCTCGCGGTGCTCCTTCTGCCGGTTTTGCACGTCAATGAGCGCTGTGATAAAACTATTCTTCACCTCCTTCTCAAATTTCAGCTCATCCCTGAGAGCCAGCTGCTGCACCAGCTCCTCCGAGAACCTCCTGATGTTCACCTCCGTCTCCTCCAGACGCTCGTTCAGCTCAGCGACACTCAGGGTCCTCACCCCTGGTTCATCAACACACACCAACACAGAAAATAGTCATTTGATACTATAGATATCAACCTGGTCACCATTGAGCTCAGAAAATCAGAGTAAATAGTATATTTGTTGGGAACTACTTTTTCAGATGTGGATGAACACATTTGGACCCTCGTTTCTAGCATGAAGAGTGTGTCAGGGTAGGTCGGGGGATTGCTGAATATCATACAGGGAATGAGAACGAACAGCGACTGAAGGCAGAGGGCCAGGTGAGTACAGGCTCAGATTCTCCAGCAGATGGAGACACAATGAGAACAGTCTAGGAGAAAAAATAACTATTCAGAGGAATAAACCAAGGGAGGCCATAAACTGCCACACTGGGAGAATATGTCAATCCTGTACTAGGGGGGAAAACCAGCCAGGCAAAAATACTGTACTGCACATTAGCAAAGTCTCACTGAGCTCACAAAAACAACAAAACAAAGAAGACACTGGCCAGGACAAAAATAGGCAGCAAGAAAAAAACAAAAGAAACACCACACTGGCGAGCAAGCTTACAAAATCCAAGACTAGGTAGGGGCAGTGTCAGAAAACAGGACTGGAACAAGCAAGCTCAGGAAAACCACTAAAGGTCCTCACAAAAGGCAGAGAAACAAGCAGGCAGGTAACTGGCTCAGTACCGCAGTACAGGTAGGCGGCATGCAGCTCCAGGAACAAGAAACAAAAGCAGGATGTAGTTCCGACAAAAATCCAGCAACTGAAGAGGAAACGTAAGGCAGTTTATGTAGGGAGAGAAAGAGAAAGACAGGCTCAAAACAAACTACAGTGCTCATGCTCAAGGTAACATAGGAACGTGTCACCCACTGCAACAGTGTGGTTCACTGGTGTATTTTAATAGTGTCTGGACAATGGAGCTCTACAAGTCAAAGGAAAAGGCAGACAATACTAGTTTATAGGATCGATTCATTGTTTGTTTTGGCCTTTTCAGAGAAACTATAGGGTAATACCAGAGGTGCCCTTTGCTGAAGCTTGCACAAGTCTCTGACTCACTTTTTATGTGTCTGAAAAAAGTGTTGTATGATCATACTGACATTGTAGCAACATGCAAAAACTGATACAACTGACTCATCACTGCAAGAAGTCACGGTCTCCTGGCATGTCTGCCTTGATAACAAATCACAAAAGGACGTGTCATATAACAGGGATAAGTCATCTTGGTCAGAGGACACTCACTCTCCTCGTAGGTGGGACTGCTGGCGGACCGCTGGATGTCCAGTGAGAGCATCGAGAGGTCTGACTGGGAGGGATTGTGCTCCATGTCAGGAGAGTCCTGCATCATCTCCTCTATCTCCTCGATAACCTGCACAGAGCACCAACACATCAGGGACAGCCCAGTGAACATCAGTTATTGAGTCTCTGTGGGAACACAAATGTTAAGCTGTGTAGGCTTGCAGCACTGTGACTGCTAACAGACCATGCTGGAGGCTGATTTTTATATGTAGCTTACCTGCTCTGCTGTGAAAAGGGGTTCCTCTGCAAGGCAGGAGACAATGATGGAGTGCATGTCCAGCTGCTCCCTGAGCTCCTCGTCATCTGACAGCTCTGCTGTGACATCAGTCTTTTTCCATATACATAACAGGGGTGGGGGAATTTAATTAAATCATTCTGGCACAATGAATATTTGACATTTGTGAGATGAATGGACAAGTGATTTAATGAGGGAGAAAGATGGGCTGGGGTTTAAGAGGAAGTAGGACAGGGTGGTGGGATAAGGGTAAAACTACTCACAGGATTCTCCTCCAAGTTGAACGTGGACATGTGCAGGAAACACATTCGAGACTGTTTCCAGTCCACTGGCATCACATGCCCATAGCTACTGGTTAACGCTGACCAGATTCTGTGGGGAGAAAAGAAGAGGAAATGACACGTCAGACAACATTTCAGTCCAAAATATACTGATATAGCTGAAGTTCAGGTCATAGGGAGGATCTTGGCTCTGAAGTCTGAGAAGTTAACAGAGCTCAGAGGACCTACGAGAGCCCTAACAGCGGAGCCATGGTAATCTCAGCTTTGGCTTGGCGACTACACATTTAACGGAAGGTTTGGCGTGTTGAGTTTTAAATACATTACTGTGTACCAGTCAGAGGAACGTCAGGAAAAGATGGCATTGATTTGCATTAAACAGAGGATCAAATGTTCTGCAGACATCATATATAGTCAGGTGATCTTAGCCTCCACCATTTTTTTAAACAATTGTTGGAAGAGAGAAATGGAGACTGGAATACAAACCAGGGATGATGCAATTACAGGCACCACCCTTGACCTTTCTTTTATTGCAGTACTGAAATACTAGAAAAGCCCTGTCTTTGGACTGCAGAAGGAAGCTGGCGTACACAGAGAGAACCCACACAGGCACAGTGAGAGCATGCAAACCCCACACACAGGCACAGGCTTGCCCCGGACTCAAACCCGGAACATTCTTCCTGTAAACAGTGCTAACCACTGCTCTACCATGCCACCTGAAACAATACTATTATATGTAAATTTACCACCTACAAAGCAAAGCAAAGGTGGGTAATCTGTCAGCAATTTTTGGCGATTAAGCAATGAACCATTTGTCTACAAAATATTAAAAATTGGTGAAAAATGCCTATCACAATGTATCATAGTCCAGTGGGACACATTCAGATTATGCCCAACCAACAGTTAAATCCAAATATTCAAAGTTACATGTATTATGCTGACAACAGTGCACCACGTAGGTGGAATGAATGTAAATAGCTTCCAGGGTTTGTCATTATAGAGGGTCACAGAGCTACTATGGCTGGACAATAGACGTCTGGTGTGTAACTGTCAGTAGGGCCCCATTACATCTAGATAACCTTTTCTAAGAACATCTAGGAAATGAAAAATCCCACTGTAACGTGTTTTGTATGTTTTCTTACTGCGACCTGCAGCACTGAGTCCACTCATCATGGAAAACAACTGGCCTGCGGTCAGACCACAAACAAACACTCACTCGTCTTTCTCCAACAGCGCGTCTTCAGCGATCACACTCACAGGAGCGATGCTGTCCGTCTTGGCGTTAAAACTGTGGAAGCACAGGGATAGTTTCTCATCCAAATCGTTCACCAGGTCCTCCGTCGACCTGAAAGCACCGGTTTCCCCCGAGGACAAGCTGCTGTCGTGCAGCTCGGGGTGATCATCATCACCAACATCATCATCATCATCATCCAGGAGGAGCTGCGGTGCAGCGGCTGCAAGGCCTTTCTGCTCCGAACCCCCGCTGAGCTCACACAGAACCGGCCACTCGTCGTCGAAATGTGCGGTAGGTGCAGCCATAGCCCGGACCAGCCTAACAGCTCCGGGTGAATGCTGGATGTGCTGAGCGGATGGCAGGCCTCAGCATCCTCTATGGTGTCCGCTTACTTCCCGTCCGGACAGTATGGCTGCACCGGGCCGACTAGTGGCGACTGCGTCCAGGGTCCAGCGGCAGCTATTCAGACTCAAAGGGACCTTGTTAAAATCAAAATAAAACAAAACTGTGTTGTCAATCCAACAAAGCAAAATAGGTCATGTTTGCACACAAGTCAAGAGTGTGTATGTGTGCGTGTGTATGAGGGAGAGAGAGAGAGAGAGAGGGAGGGAGGGAGAGAATAGCGACCCCTCGTGTAACCCTTACCCGCTGTCTGCGTTGCCCATGGTAACAGTCTCCAAACAAACTAAAAAACACGGGGAATCCCCATGAACAGAGCCAGGCCTGCACTCAGGCCAGTCTGGGATATTTAAGTAGTTTGCTTCAAGTGTCTCAGGTAAAATGAGCTCACCGCTGTCGATGTTGAAGAAAACGAGGCGCACGCCAATGCAAGGCCCTCTGGATGAGCAATGGTAGGTCATGACCCGGGAAATATCCCAGTAGCTTACTGACATTACTGTGAGAATTACAGAGTGTATAAGATACGGAACATCTAATTGTCTTTGGTCTGCAGGAGCAGACAGAAAGTGCCTTTCAGGAGGAACCTGTTAAAAGGTAGGCTATGTCACCGCTCAGATCTTTTACATGATGGATGTCCTCAGATTCTTCAAGGTACTAATATTACATTGCCAAAATACACCATTACCAATAAAATTCTGGTTTTGAAAATATCAAATATAATTAGGAAAATGTGCATAAAGTATCAAAAGTTCTTATATGTGTTATACTATTACATATTATTCAGTATGGTTATGATGATTATATGTGTATATATGAAATAATCTACAGATTTCCAGGCTTGACATTTTTGAGAAAATGGCCCTTAGAATTAAATTTGCATGACTAATGGCTTAACTGGTAATTATATAGCTTCCTAATTTTGTAAACTGTGATGTAACTATCAAATACTTGTAGTGGAGTAAGAAGAATTATACTTCACGTTAAAACATAATGAAGTGGCATGAAAAGAAAATACTGAAGTACAAGTAGTTCAGATGTACTTTACAGTAATGCAGTATTTGATACAGTACTTAGTTATGTTAGTTATAGTCCACTGGTTATTATAATACTCTGACAAGCTGGTTTTCACTATAAATATCAAACTGCTCTCTGTAACTGAAGCATGTTTTCCTTTTTTTATCACATTTTTGACTTTAACAAATTACTCTGTGTGTTTTCAGAATTTCAGGCAGCACTGGTCAGTGATGAGGATGATGGCACCTCTGATCCAAATACTCCCATCTCCTCTCACGCTCCAGTCAGTGATACCTTCACTTCTAAGTCAAAAGTCCCAATAAAGAAAGGTACACCTAATAGGTCTTCTTTAATTTATTGTTATGCATACTGAAAATCTAATAAACTGCATCAAAAATGATGCTGTAGAGTGCAGAGGATGCTCTTCGTACAAGACTTTTTCTTTCAGGTGCTCCACCGAGCAACTTTGAGCTCATGTCTGCCATGATGCAGCGAGTGACCTTCCTGGAGAGAACAGTGAAGAGCCAAGCACAGGAGATCAAGTGCAAGGTGAAAACACAGTCCCTCCAGAAAAAGAGCAAAACTGTAGAAACATACACTTTGAAACACATCAAACCCACAGTTTATGTTTTCTTTATTGCTGTGAAGGACAATAAGATCTCAGTGTTGGAGGAGACACTGAAGCTTCAGAAAGAATCAGGTAACAACACACAGAGACATGAGTTTAATATAGGTTTACAGTATAGACTTATAGAGGTATAGAATTTCTAGCTGAAAAGATTGAATTTGCCTGTGTGTGCATTTAGAGCACGCATGTGATCTAAGCGGCAGAGATGATCTCGAAAGAAGGTGCCAACAACTGCAGAATCAAGTGTGTGAAATGGAGGTAAGTTTGTCTGATAAAATATTTTGTTAATGTGTTTAAATTATGACCAAACCACACAGAATTCTGCTGATGTCTGTGTTGCAGAGCTTTCTAAATGACTATGGCTTGATCTGGGTGGGAGACGGGGAGAACAGTGACTCAGCTGAAAGTGAGAAGCTCCATAACTCAGAGAGAGGCCCCTGGCAGCCGGGTAGTTTCCATCTGCTTTATGGGCTTCAAACTCCCCTCAGGCTCTATCAGCACATCTTCTACCTAAAATGATTTCTACTGTATTTTTCCTCTGCAGGCACATCTGTGGTCAGGCCTTTCAATGTGAACTTTGACCTCGTGTTGCAGAGGATCAAGGAGCTAAACATCCTCGCAGGTGAAGGAGAGTCTTTTGTACAAACAACAGCCATGAGGGCACAGCTAGCTAAAAAGGATCCTGTGCGGCTGAGGCTCTACAGCAACGGCATCATCATGTTTGATGGTCCTTTCCGCTCTTATATGGAGCACAGCACTCAGGTTAGCTTAATAAAACTACAGGAAAAAATGCCTGTTTTAAATTGGGATCTTTGGTGTTTCAGATTCTCCTTCTTTGGTCTTTGCAGCAGTGCATGCAAGATCTGATGGACGGTTATTTTCCTTCAGAGCTTCAAGAAAGATTTCCAGACGGCGTGCCTTTTGAGGTGCGTCTCTGTTCAGTCTGTCTGGAAGCAAATGTGCAAATACAGTATGTTACTTATTAGAAACTTACCGTACAGGTAGATGACAGGCGAGATGAGGAATTTATCTTCAGGCTACCATGGGAGAAGTTTCCTGGTGAAGGACAGGCTGTGTGCGGAAGGAGAGATGAATCATCCAGTGCACCTACCTCTCAGACGCCTGGTCTGTCCTTCAACACCCTCGCAAATAAGACCTGTGGTGAAAATCATCATTCTTCATTGTCATTCTCACTTTTTCGGCTGGTTCACAGGCAAGAAGCTGACTGTGGATCAATTCCTGAACAGGCTTCCCAGGGTGGTGGTCAAGGCAGGTCGAGTGATCGACATCAGAGACTCGGTGAGGGCGACCCTGCAGGTGAGCAGTGAGCAGAAAGGGCTCCAACTCATTCCACATGCAGCTGCACTCACAGTGTTGTGGGTTTGTATACAGACAAGTTGCTGTAGTGCTCACTCCTGCATGTCTGTACTTGTACGCTCATTACAGTTGGCTCCTTATCGAACAAGAACTTTTTTTTAACCAGGGCTCCGTTGATGCCCAGAGCAGCGACTCAGTGATCCTCATAGACACACCAGCACTGCAGGCCATGAAAAAGAGGTACAAAATATTTTGTCATCCATTATGTAAGCACTTTTTTTTTGTACCACAAATCATGATGCACATTTTTGTTGGCTAATTGGACAACTGGTCGACTTACCAGTGGGTCAGTCAGTCATTACAAACTGCAGATGAGCATCGTCCAAATTCACTGAAATCTTTTAAATGATACATCGTAGACATGGTCAGATTATGATGCAGTGGGCCCCTGGACACAGATATACAACAGGCCCACACCCTCCTGCACAGTAGTAGCAAGACTGAAAGAGATTCTCTTTAAATATACTGTTTCCCTATGACGATATTTTCCATCCCTTTGTGTGGTCATTTTGTTTCGCTACATTGTCATTTTGCATCTCTTTGTGCTTTTTTTTTTGTTTTATCACTTTGGTTATTTTGAAAGCAAACTCCAGGAGCCTCCTTAGCCCTCAGGACCCTGGGCCTGTGCCAAGCAGGCCTGTTCAATAATCCATCTATGATCGTAGATAATAGTCCAAAGTTTGTAAAAATATGTCAGGATAAATTTTGGATAAACTTGAAAAAGAATGATGCATGGGTCTATATTTGTCTGATGAAAAGGTATAACCATGAAACACCTTGCATTGGAGTTTTAGTATTGCAGATCATTTTGGGACTTTATAAATATAGACAAATTAAAATCAAACGCAGGGTAATTAGGGGGTTAAAAGGAACTGCTACATTCAAGAACAGGATACATGATTATTAAAATCCCCTTTTTTGCAAAAATGACAAATTGTCAAGATTGTGAAGATTACTGTATGCACTGGTCTGAAAACTGGGGCAGGTTGCCGTGCACAGACAGCACACACTGGCTTGTGATGGACTAGTCCTGGACTCCTAAAAGGAGTCCAGGACTAGTGGAAGACACGATTGTGTAATGTTTCTTTATGACACATACTGTAGCTGTAATTTATGATTAACGCAATAATATATTTTTATTAACAGGAAAGAAATGTATCAGTTTTCACTCCTCTGACTTTTTATATTGACAGAGTTTTTGTGATTTGATCACTTTACATATTCAGGCTGCAGTCACCCACTTCTGACCGACCATCATCTGCTCGGGATGTCATCACACTCAAGGTGAAGTCAGAGGATGGGAACCATGCCTACATCCTGAAAATGTGCCTCTCAGAAACAGTTGGTCACCTGCGGCAGTACCTGGACAAACAAAGGTGAGGTCGCCTCCTCCTGACAAAGGTCTTTCAGCCAGCCTCCATCTTTACAGCCACACTGGTTGCTTTTATGTCTTGCACTACAGAGGGGGTGGTCTACCTGGTTACGACATCATCAGTGTGTTCCCACACTGCTGCTATGACGACGACTGCCAGACCCTCCAGTTGTGTGGACTCACAACGAATGCTAGTCTGCTGTTGCGAAGAAGGCGAGACCCTCATTCACCGGCTGAAGTCAATCAAAACTAAAAAATGTTATGTTCAGCTCGCATGTGAAATCAGACTCACAACAGATGTCACAGTAGGTAAAGCACAGGTGTAATAACATCAACGGTGGCTCTGTTACCAGGACCTCGGAACTGAAACAGCTAAATGGAATTCAGTGAGCGTTAATTTATTTCCACCTGTGCTTTTTCTGCAGGTGACATGTCCAGAGTCTGCTGTGACAAAGGTCCATCGATAACTTCCTGCCTGAACTATACAAACTCTGGTGTAACAGATACAGATGCACTAATCCAGCTTCTTGCTCCTGGTATCAACTACTCATGTGTTTTTCTGGACAGAAGGGATGAGAATACAGCAGTTTAAAATAAAAAATGGAATTTTCAATAAATTAAACCAAAATGTTGAAAAACTTTATTCCTAAAATATGCAAATACAAACAAGAACAAAAGTATGAAAATATAAACATCTTTTTCCCTCTTGCAGAACATTAGAGCTGTTAAGGCATGCGGAGCATGACTACACAAACATAAATCTTGTGCTACTCGAGTTTAAAGGTCCCATGAAATGAAACATGGCTTGTGTGTCCCTGGGTGTGCTGCTCCGTATAATTTACTTCAAAAGTTTTTGTTGCATATTTTTATATTTAAAACATCCCCTTTTCTTCCTGTAAAGTGTCAAGTCTTTTTTTTAATGGCTTATCCTGCACTAAGGGCAAACATCAAATTCCATATAGTACAATGTGCTTTGTCATTTGGGGTGATCCAGCCAACCCCTCCCCCTCCCACCATCATCACGTCTTTTATATATACGGTGCCGTATATTCGCTCGCTGCTCCCCCTCCAACATCCTACCTCATGAAACACCGCAGGAGAAAGTTACAGTCTAAAAGCCACTTCATGGGACCTTCGCACATAGTGGATGCTGAGTTTGCTCAAACACATTAGCACATTGTTACATGACTATATTAGGACCCAAAATGCTTTTCACACCCAGTTGTCAAATGCAAACAAAAACATAAATACTGAAGATTAATACTGCTTCTCAGTCATAAGTTAACCACTCTGTCAAAGCCTTTATCAGCCTGAAATGTACAGTATACTGTTAAGTTACTCATTTGCAAAGAGCCAAGAGCAGTGATTGCCAAGGCTACTGAGTTTTACTTTATATCATTTGTCTACCAAGACCAAAAACAGCTTATGAGCCTCCACGAGCTCTGTAACGTGGCCCAATGGTATCTGCTACATTCAGAGTCAGGGAATGTATTGACTACCCTACTGGCTGATAGACTGAGACAACGGTCATATTGGAAGAGTCAGCTGCAAACAGCACTTTGTGGTTGGTCTAAAAATGAATTAGCATTGTGGCTGCAAACGTGGCAGAAAGGCACATGTTGGTATTCATTGAGAGCAAGGCCTCAAACATTCACACACTTACACACCTTCTCCACTTGGATTTTTCTTTGGTTATAACACTGTTGTAGGCCTGTTGGTGGGAGAAGCTGGACTGGTATTGAACGCTTCAGTTGTTCAGTCTTTATACCTCACAGCAGAGTCTAATATTACAGTGTTGGCCATTTCAAATAATGGCGTGGTAGCAATTCACTTAAAAGCACAGGTTAAAATATCTTCAGTTGATTGTCAACCACATCTTGGATCATTCCCCACAGGAGGGAAAATGAAGGTTTAAATAGTCGATATTTATGGGACTTCTACACAAACAGTTATCCACTAGAGGGGAACAAAAAGTATAAGACTGTTTGGTAACTGACAGTATCATTCCATTATTAAAAACACACAATGCTGCTTTAAGGATCAAGTATTAGAGGTAAGTTATTTTCTGTTAGCCCTTGGAGTGAAACAGACGAACTCACTGGGGGGATGGGGGGTGGTTCTGAGCTACAGGCAGGCTTGAGACTCAATGTTCAGTCAGTTGAAAGAAGCAGAAGCAAAACCATTTGGGCTTTCCTCTGTTCTCACTGTAACAACATTAAAATACAGTTCTTTTTCTCACATTCTGTAACTAGGCTTAAAAGACAGGCCTGTTTTAGATGCTGCTGAGGTGAAGTGGGGCTTCTGCATGTTTACTCCATTACCTGGGTGGATGGCGAGGTTACTGGGTGATGCAGTTTTCTCCCATGTCCTGTGCATAACGGTCCAGTATTACATTACGTAGTTCCTCAACATCTCGGCGAAGCTGCTGAGCTTCGGCGAGCTTCTTCTGCAGCACCTCTGGACTCATCCAGTCCTCATTTTGCTCTGCCAATGGTGGGGGCGCTGAGAAGATAAAATGCAACTCCGATTCATGTTGCGTAACACTGACTTTTCACAACACATCGTTTTCTGAAACAAATGTACTATGTAATCAATGAGAAAAAGAGTAAAAATTGAGCAGTGCTTACATGTGAGACCAAGCAGCAGGGAGAGGTTGGGGTCTTGTCCCTGAGCTCTCTGGGTCAGGATGCTGCACAGAGAACGCAGGTCGCTGAGGCAGGAGGCAATCTCTGCATGAAGCTTCTGTGTGAGACGTGCCCCGGCTGGCTGCAGGGCACAGGAGGCCTGGCTAGTGCTCCTCTGCTCTGGATCGCTCATCTGTTCCTGCAGGGTCAGATTCTGCTCCATCAGCTCCTGGTTTTGGGCTGACAACTGGAACAAAGTAATCAGCAGCATCAGTGTTAATGGATCTGTCAAGTTGAGGATCAATGAAGTTTCTCAGCATATCGTACAAAATGTGATCATTTTTCTGGATTTGTTTGCCACACCTCCTTCATAGCTGTATGCAGCTCTAACACTTTCTGCTCTTTGGCCAGTAGCTCCTCTCTGAGAGCCTGAGAGCTGCCCTCTTCCTGAGATATCTGCTCCTCCAAAGCCTGCAAACACACAGTCACAAATGTTAAGAAACTATAAACAAGACAGTAACCACACAAATCTTTCAGCTTTATTGTGAAGAGAGAAAACACCTGGATCTGGGAGCCAAGCTGTTCCATCATTCGATGTTGCTTTTCAATGACCTGCAAAGAGAAGAATGGAGCTTTAAAACAACTTCTACTTGAAACAGCTCTGGGGAGGCCTTACAAGATCTTTTGTACCATGTGAGCTGCTTAATTAAACAGCCCCACAGCTCAGAACCCTTCTTTTGTTTAAATCCTGTGTGCTCTCCTGAGCTAGGAAAATAAAATGTGTTAATAAACTCCAATGATGATACACGTGCAGCTCGGTTCAACTCCATTTATTCATTCCATCGCCATTTTTTTCACACCGCCCACTTCCCGTGTGCCCCCACAACAATCTTCCCCCCCTTTAATGCACTTTGACTATACAGGATAGCATTAGCTAACACAAAATGCAGACCATAAAGCATTGAACATAATAAATGCAAGCCGATGGTCCGGTAACTTAATAAATGTAAATGACAACTTAACAAAATGGACCCAAGGTTTCCAGAACTAAACAGATGCCTATTTTATTATCTCAAATTCCTTCAATTTCAATTGTAAATTACACAAATTCATCTCCCCTTTTTCTTCTCCTTTTCTTTTTACGACATGTGCTTTGTGTAGCTCAAGCATGTGACTGGAAATGCTGGCTTTGCATGTGAAGCACAGACAGCGTGGTAAACATTACAGAGAAGACATTAAAAGAATACACACTGAAAGGAATGACAAACACATTATGCAGAAAACATAAAAGGTGCTCTGTGCTTTGATGAACAGTTTGCGGCTACATGCTTTAACCACAACATAAAGGACCTTAGCTCAAGAAAAATGATCAACTCTTGTTGGTTCAAACTCCAGTGAACACACACTTACTCTAAGCTCACTATCAGATCAACTTTTGATGTCATTTGGGGTTGAGCATATCAACAGCAACACTACAGCATCACTGCATAGTATGAACAACATCCATTCTAAATTGGGGAAGGAAATGTAATTCGAGAAAACAAAATAGACCTTTTTGAGTCTCTGCTGTTCCTCTCTCAAAGCGCTGTTCTCTCCACGGAGCTGCTCGATATCCAGACAAGGCAGTCTGGCTCCATCCTCAAGGCCTTGCTGCACCCGCTGCTGCATACTGTTGATGGCAACAATAAAAAACACAAAGCACACATTGTGCAGCATTACTACTGTTTCTTTATGCACACAGACATTAGAGAAGGAACATGCCTACAGGGAAGACTGCACATTGCTGTCAGACTGTGTGGGCACATACTCTGTAATAGTGGTCAGCAAGCCTCTCTCCCTGCGTTTCTGCTCCTCCAGCAGTGCATCTTTTTCCCGTAGTTGTGAGCGCATGGTATCTAGACAGAGCTCCAGTTCTCTTACTTTATCCTGTAGCTGAGCTGCTTGCTGTTCAGCCTCCAGAAGCTGATACCAAAGCCACAAAAAACATGATTTAAACACTTTGACTTAGGTAAATCAGAACAAAGAGTGGCAAGGTGTGAAACCTGAACAGAACTGTCCTAACCTGCTTATTCTGGCTCTGGTAGTCCTCCAAGGTGGGCAGGTCGGCTAGATAGCGCTCCAGAGTCTCAATACGCTGCTGGTTCTCTCTCTTCTGCTCGGCCTCCTTCTGACACTTCTTCTTCAGGTTGCTGATGTGCTTGTCTCGACTGCGGATCTGCACAGACAGCCACATGGACAAGTGGGATAAATATACTCAAGAAATAACAAGCAAAAGGTGTTGCACCTATCTGTAACATACAGTGAGTGAGAAAGATGTGACAAACTATTCCTTTCATCACAAGTTGGCCCCCACAGAAATTGCACTAACACCTTTCATCTTTCTCTCTGAACAGGACTAAGTGAACCTGTTATAGTTCAAACTTGTATGCAACATTTAAGATCTAGTTACGTACTGAGCTCGACAGTGATTTTACTGGCAGCATCTCACTTAGGTTTCCGGTGGGGTGATTCTGGGGTTTTGTTTTAATGTGCTATAATATTGTGCTGTTTGAAAGGGCTGTGGGGAAATTTGATTTTAAATGGCTTTCTTTGCTGCTTACATGAATAAAGTGCTGAAATTCAAATGCAGTTTTCAGCCAATAAAATCTAATCAAATAAAAGCAATGTGAATGGCTTGCAAACCAGGATGTTGCTTTTCAAACTTTTCAATGTCACTCTCCAGTTCTCTTGCTTGCAACACTGCATGTAAGGAAGAAGTGGGAGGTGAGCACAAACCCTCTCTTCCTGTTTCTTCATTTCCTCTGTGTGTCTCTCACAAGCCTCCTTCAGACTGTCAGTTAAGCGCCGTGTCTCAGCTTCAACTGCCCCTAGTCTGCGCTCTGCCTCCGCCTTCTCCAGGGCAGCACAGTCTGTACGTTCAGCAAACTGCGCCCTGAGAAACGCGTTCTCCCTCTGAGCCTCCTGTAAAGTCATCATGTGGTACAAAAGGTCTTGAAGACAAACAGTTTGTAAAGCGGTTGACAGTATAACACAAACATCTCATTGTTGTTTGAGGGAGTCAGACCATGTTTTCACTCACCTGTAGCCGAAACATACATATATCCCCATAAGAAGCCCCTCTGCCCAGGAGGGCTCCATGGACGTGCAGCTCACTTTCCCTCAGACGCTGCTCCATCTGCGCCATATGCTGCTTTTGTCTGCATCACAAATAGGTCCACCCTTTATTAGTTCAGTCTATAAAACCACAGTCCTTACACAATTGGGAGATGTACATTGTTGTGTCATTAATAACTGCTTCACCCATATTAAATCTTTTCTACAGTAAACTCAGTAAAGTAAATGTTGATGCAAAACAATTATATTAGTATCAAAATGTTACAAATCCCCTTTCCTGTTTCTTTCTCTCCCTAACATGCCCCAACCTGAAATTTAAAAACCACCTACCTCTCGATGATAAGCTCCTTCTCCTTTAACAGACTCTCGCTGGCTTTGACCAGAGCATCCCACTTGCCAGACTCTGAGTGAACAGGGGTTGAGTACAGAGATGGGTACTGACTCACTCCAGCACTCATTAACTGTAGCAGAAGACAAAGAAACTTGTCACATTTGCAATATGTGGAGAAAATACAAAATGGTGATGCAAAGATTTACAGATATGCAATTTTAACCCTGAAAATATATTAAGTGTGCATGGCTGGGCGCACTGATAGCCAAATGGTTACAGTGCAGCGCACCATATACACATGCAGTGTGTGTGTGTGTGTGTGTGTGTGTATGATGTCAGCGCTTTGAATCCAATGGGCAACACTTCTCACAGGTCTCCCCCTCTCTATCACTCTGTCTCCCTCTTTTCCTGTCTGCCTCTCTATGACCTACTAGTAAAAATGAAGGCAAAAATGTACCTGAAAAAATAACTAAAAAGAGTGCAGCTGGCTAGTGCACACAATATACGTGCTACACAACTTTAAAAATACGAGCTCAAGGCAAACAGCTCGGGAACTGACCTTTGTTAGCCTGCACCTGATCAAACTGTTTATTTCAAATAAGTAATCTGACAACAGATACTGATTTGTCAATTACACCATTATCAATTTCAAATAAAAATATAATAATAAATAAAAGTTTTCAGAAATTAGTTAATCAGCACAGAGCACGTGGAAGCACCAAGAGTCACTCAAGAGTGGCATTCAGTCAGCATCGGGCAAGGGGAAAAAGCATACTGTTCAACTAGCAAAAAATGTTGTGTAAAAGCGAAGCAGCCACGAACTATCAACATCAACTAAGCACAGCAGTTTTATAAAGCTGATAACACACCACAAAATCCTTAAAAGCTCTTTTGACTATAATTTGGCTGATTGAATTCACAAATTCTACTTTAAAATGGGACAAGAATCTATATGGCTCCAAGCTTTGTTTAGTGGAATGATATCTTTCCAATGTTCATCTCTATGTCAGGCACCAAATTTCTGACAAGATCCCATGGTTCACAAACAATCAACTGCCCCAAATGTCTTCTCCAGTGGCTTTTACTTTATCAGGGTGTTTTATGACAGGATCCACCTCACGTTCATAGCAGCCAGGACATGTCAGCTTTGCCATCCAGTGGAGACACATGTTAAAAGAGTGACATCAGTGCCTATCCTTTATAATATGATCAATGACATCTATGTGGGAAAAAAACATCTACATCCACCAGGTTTGTCTTTATTTAGCATTAGTGTAGTATAATTTATTATGAGATAAATGCTTACCTGCATTTGTTCCACTTGCAGGCGCAAACTCTCCAGTTGCTGCTTATGCTGCTGTTGTTGCTGCCAGCTGGACAGTTCACTACATCTGTCCTGCCGCACAGGCTCATAACCCTTGGAGCTTACATGCTCCCTCAGCAAAGCCTGTGTCTGCAGGCTGAGAGGGCTTGCATAAACTCCAGCAGAACCGGCCACACCAGGCTGGCTGCCCCTTTGAGTAGAGGTTTCTGTTGTGCTGGGAACCCCAGCCCTAACTTCTGGCAGAACCTTATAGCTGTGCTCCATGCCTCCTCTGAAGGCCTCAGACATACAGTCTGGGGCGTCTCGAATCCCGGTTGTCTGTAGTCGGAGTCTTACATCAGGGCATAAACCCCCAAACAGGGCTGACTGATTTAAGGTAGGTTCCACAGTCGGAGTGTCAAACCTCTGGCCCTCATCCACCCGTGTGTGATCTGTGGGGAAAAGCGAGTGGTCCAGCCCATTGACGAGGCTGCGGTAGCGGCTCAGGCAGTCTGGCTTTGGCCCCACAGGATCACCTCCCACACCAGGCTGAGCATCCAAGTTGGGCGAAGATGCTGATTTGGAGAGAGAGGAAGACTTCGAGGTGGAGACACTTGGGCTTCTGGAGCCTGAGGAAGATCTGTGACCCTCAACAGAGGACAACATGTCCTCCTGGACACATGACTGGGGCTTAGAGGCCGGGGTTCCGGCCGTGGATGGCATGACATGTGCAGTGGGTATGGGGATCTGACTGCGGATGGGTTGGAAAGAGGGGCTGCTGCTGGAACTGCAGAACTCTTTAAAGATTAAAAGAAGAAAGAGTCATTAGAAATTACAACAGTATTATTCTCTATACAAATCCACCTTGTTAAATCAGTGCAGAATATCTGGAGTACCACTGCAGGCAGTTTTCTCTATTTTCAGTCAGTAAAGTAGATACAGCAGAGTCTATGGGTGGCCTACTTTGATAATGAGGTGTCACCACTGAAGGAATTAACAGGCTCTGACTAATTCAACTTCGGGAAAAGCTTATAACAGACTTAGACCAATTTGTGGAGTAAAAGCTCTGTATTACATGATTAACAAACGATATGTACAGTATAGCGAGGGATGCGGCAGTATACCAGTTTTACGGTATACCATGGTATGAAAATTGACGGTTGTAATACCATGCACATTTGCTTATTACCGGTATTGAAGAAAAAAAAAAAATACCGCAAAAAGGCAACGCATGCACACCTTTCTTCCCCAACTGGGCTGAAATCACCAAACCCCATCCATCAAAAAAGAAATGTAAATCACCAGCACAGGATTTCTTTGGATATCTCAAAAACGAACACCGTTGAAAACACCATCTCTCTGTACAGGTCAAAGTATGTGTTCCATTTATAACTTTAATCCCAAACAATAATCACAAAATGCGCTATCGAAATAATTTTCCACACTGTCTGGTCATTCGCTATTTTTAATACTTTAAGTTTATTTTTTTTGTTAATACTTAACATTATTAATGCAGGACTTTTTGTAACAGAATAGGCTATTTTTACAGTGTGATATTACCATTTTACTTAAGTAAAGGATGTGAATACTTCCTCTGCTACTGGTGCTAACATGCAAACTAGCATGCTTTAGTTATATAACATGTTATAGTTATATGCTGTTTTTTAAATCTTAAGGTCATTGTAGCTGATAATAATAATAATAACTGTGTAATAGCGTATACTGTAATATGTGAAACCGTGATATTTTCTGAGATGGTTATCATACTGTGAAAATCTGATATCGTTGCAACCCTAAGTATAGCATTAATAAAGCTGGCATTACTTGCCATGTACTTACTTACTTACTGCAGTGTTGGATTGTTATAATAGAACTGCTGAGTAAAAGTCTTCTTTTTAAATTTTCATAAACTCTTGTAATTTTCTGTTAACAACATACAAAGATACACAACCCCAAATAACTCTACAGAGTACACATTCAGTTGACTACACTAGGCATGCACAAAAATGTTGATGGTCTAAACTTGAGGAACACTGCAAGAACACTGCAACCCACCCACAGATATCTCCACAAGCCAAAACACAATTTCAAGTTACATAACTCTGATTTCCAATTCATTACAAACCTGGGAGACCCGCTGAAGTCTGGAAACCTGGTAGTCACTCGAATATAACAAGCATGTTATTAGCTGTGACATTTTTTCTAAACCTGTACTGAGGTGAGCTGAGCTGCAGAAGGGTTTAAGCCAAAACAACAGACCGTCTTCTGCATTTCTGGGTAGCACGAACCAACTTCTGAAGCCAAGGCTGAAAGCTGTACAGCAGGCTGGCCCTGTATCCAAAACTTTGTCCTCAAACTACCAAACCAGCCTGTACCAAGCTCTGAGCAAACACATAAAAACAGGCACACACAGGAAAGGTTAGGGGTATTTATAACCCACCTCTCAAGTTACAGAGTGATCTGTGGGTGCCGCTTATTTAAGCACCTTGCCTCCTCCACATATCACTCGTCTACATCCAAAGTCAAAGACTGAATATGACATGTTTTTCCCTGCTCAGTTTAACCCACAATTTCATACAACTAGAAGTCTTCGTAGTCTCAGAGAAAAATACTAATTAGTAGAAAGAATATTATGGAAATGGCATCACATTTTTAGGCATATAAAACATCAAATATACAGTATAAATAAGCCTCCAAGCTCGACAGAGTCATTACTGGCTGGAACAAGTCGAAACTACCCTGTAAGAAGAAGTTCTGATATACGATTGCTCCACAGATAATTCCTGCCTTTGCACATGAAAACATAATGACAATTATTGCAGGTTTAAAACTAAATGTTCTGATTAACAGCAGACAACTAAAATAAAATAAAAAGTTTATTATTAAAAAAACAACAGTTTCAGCCACACTTTAAATATGATATACATTATTATGTACAACAGGTCGTGATTGTTGCTAAATTTGGGGTTTACTGTCATATTACTAAGCACTGCTGTCAATTTAAGGGCCTGAACAAAGGTGCACCAGTAACATGCCCAACAGCTGTAACTAAACAAAGGATGCATATAGGAAGTGATTACATGCATTTCTACAAGGCATCAGTTATAATGAAAATGTATCCAGACCACAACATCAACATGAAGGTGGATAAAAATCACACAAATCCAACAATTAATGTATCTGAAGTACCTGATAGCAAGATCAGCAGGGTTACCCATGTAGGAATGCTGTGTTACAATACCTGAGATGTGTGACTGCAATGTTCAGGGTTTGTAGAGCAACACTATACACCTCCAGATGAACTGTTTACTGTTCTTTGAAAGGTGTTGGCAACGTGCAGATAGTAACACTACTAATTGCTTGCCACACCTTCTCTTTAAGGTTCATCTGGTCACTGGACATATCAGGGAAGGGGAGCAGAGACCCCTGAACTGACTACAGTGATAAGGGAAGCACTAAAACAAACAGTGTGTGGAGAGATGGGCACTGAGATAGTATCATCTAGCTAACATTTGCACAAGATCCTATAAAATTGCCTCATACACCTTTGCTGATACACAACTATTCAGAGTGATTATGGAAACCACTGACATCGAGGTAGTACCCAGTACAGATCCATTACAATGTTTAACAAATGGGAAAAGACATGATGTTTGAAAGCTATCATGTCACATGCAAGGTAAAAGATATGTTTTCGGTCCATTATACTGTAGTGTTTCCTATTGCACAAGGGACCTCTGCTCTCAGCTGGACAACCGTTACATGGCACCTTTCTGACACTGTCTATTATTTTTTCCATTCAGTGTATATTTAGATAACCTAGTACATACACACATGCACCATCTCCAGTGGGGTTTCATATTTTCTACAGTGGAATGTTCCATGGCAGTTTTATGAAAACTTGTTGAATGAGACATTTCATGCCATAGGCATAGGTCCAGCTTCCTTTTGAGCTAGCTGTCCAGTCCTGGTATCCCAACATCCAGTCCTCTCAATTAGCCTCAACACCAGAGCAAAGCAGCAGGGCCTTTGGGCAATTTTTGGCTATTTAATCTACCTCTGCAAATCTCCTGAACACACACAGTGGATCATGAACAATTTTCTCACTCTATAAATAGACCAAGCAAAAACATCACAAATGTGAAGACAAAGTCTTTTCAGCATCAAAAATTAATCTGACTACCACACGCAGCTTCTTATATTACCTTTTAAGTCAACTTAAACACTAATTCAAACTATAGATGTTATACACAATTGTGTTCTGGTCAAAAAGAAAACAAAAATTGGCCACCATTATTAAAGCACCCAGCTGTGGCTGTATAAAGTGCAAACTGGGACTCCATGACTGCTACAGACAGGGAAAGAACAAGTAAAAGTCCTCACCTTCTGTGCTGTCAGATGCTGAGGTGCCAAGTCCAGTGTCCCCACTGTCCGATGTTCCAGGCCGGCGGCCAAAACGGCTTTGGAACTTTTCTGACACAGCTGGTGTCTGCCACTCCATGTCAGCAAACTGAGCTAATGTATGTTTGGAAAACAGGACAATGGCAACACAAGAGTACATCAACACATGCTGAAATAACACACAGCTGAAGCATGTTGACAACAGGGTCAGGGTGCCAACTCACCCGCTGGTTTGGGTTCAATATATCTCTGTGAGGTTGTCATTCCATACAACAATGTCACCTGTTAGAAATGAGGACAAAATACATTATCATACAGTTTTTTTTAATCATATTTTATTTTTGTTTTGAATCACAAAGCAACTTACAAAATGAGGAAATAGCTTAACATAGGTTAGGTATGCTTGTATCTCTGTCACTTCAACAAATAAGTGACTAAAGAGGCTGGTGGCTTTTTACATGACGTAGTCTGAACAAAAGCTCCTCTCTTGCGTACTGAACACCCACTGCTGAGGATTCAACAGCTGTTAGCTACTGACTGATCTGCTCACCTATCAAACTTATCTGCCCCTCAACGTGATAGAACAAAACTTTGGCAGACTTTTCTGGGTGCCAACAAAAATAACAACATGAGCACATGTCTTACCGTTAGATAATCTGTTATACAAACATTTATGTTAGGCTGCAAGTTGTGCGTTATTTGTGGCAAGTGAATATAACAATTAGTGATGGGTAAAAGTAGCATTAGGCCGAGATGCGACCTGGTTGTTACAATCTACCCTGCTTCACTAGTATAAAGGAAATGACTCCGTTAAATGGGGCTTTTTAATTCCCTCCCCACTGTCGCCAAGTGCTTGCTCAATGGAGAGTTGTTGGGCTTTTCCTCTATAACAATACCAATAGTAGGTCTAGACTTTATTTTATAAAGTGTCCTGAGATTACCTTTGTTGTGATTTGGCTCTATACAAATAAAACTGAAACTGAAAATTGACTCGCTAACGCATAACCAGCCAAACGTGACAAATCGCTAAATTCAATTTGTGGAAATTATATAGTCCTACCTAGCTAAATGCGACAATCGGAGCTGAACAAGTCTAGGCTGTTTTAAGGAGACATTTTTTCACGATTTCTTCACCATAACGTTCAAATTCGTTGTTAACATTTAACACCATTTGAGCTAATAACCAATCCGTTTCCGACTAACGTTAACAAGCTAGCGTTAGCTAACAGCTAACACAACGTTGCGGTTTGCTCAGCTACTTGTATGAACATAACATTACAAATCTCTCTTAGCTTTTGTGCTCACATTACTGGAGCTGAACGAGCCATCGGCGCTGACAAATGCGTTACTTTACCTTTCGTTTCACATAAACACAGAATGCAGTAACAAATCTCGGTTTCAGGCTGTCAACCGAAGCCGAATCTGTACCATCCGTTGCTGCTGTTGTTCCGCTAGCTAACTGATCCACTCTGATGGCAGACGACCCATCAAAGACACAATGGCGGCTTGTTTCATATCACAGAGCCGCCCGTTGAAAAGTGATTGTTCATGTTGTTTGAGAAACCGTCTTAGAGTCATTTTTGTCATATGACCAAATACAAAAAGAGTAAAACAAAACGAACCAACCTTCCCAAAATACGGTGAGGAGGCTAGAATAACCCAGAAAATAAGACTTTCCCGAGGGGTTCAGAAGTGTTGTGACATATTAAACCGTATTATAAATATATTTTTAGGCCACAAAATAGAAATTAAATTGAGGTGAATACTATAAGATGAAATAAATATCCTAACTGTATTTTATTTGCAGAGGCGGTATATTACACAGCAATAAACTACAGAGGGCCTACCCTAAATTATCTCCTTAGTTATAGGCGTGATAAAGATGTTCATTAAATCCATTGGTTCATTTTAAAGACTTGTGCGTTTCTCTTTAAGCGAACATTAAAGACTATGATCCTCTGAGGCATTTCACTTTTGGATGTCTCCCCAACCTACCCTTGCAATGATTAAGACTTTTCATGCCTAAAATTGAGATTATTGGATTTTGGACTTTAGGACCCACAGAATCGCTGTCTGCTAGGCTAAGTAGAGTTTAAGACATCCTTTTATTAATTTTGATGATCAGGGAAGATAAACACACCTGTTGGTATTGGCTGTGAGCTAGTAAATCTTTACTTTTTATAAATAAATAAATAAACACACCACACACAAAAAACCTCAGGCTTGCCTGAGAAAGCATCAGGCTGCCAGGGTCACCCAGGCTTGGCCTGGGGTTTTCTGAGACCCTTGTAGGCCCATAGCCTCTGACCTTCATGAGTCTCGGAAAACCTGACTGTCAGGGGCCCTCAAATGTGACCTGAGACTTTTTGAGACCCCATAGCCTTTGGACCTTCAGAGGCTCTCAAACAACCAAACCAGCCTGTATAAAGGCTGAGTTTTTTTTCAATTTGTGCTACTTCATACTTTAGCGTCACTACATTTTTGAAGCAAATTTTTACTCTACTAAATGTATTTGGCAGCTTTAGTTACTAGTTATTTTTCAGAATTAGATTAATAAAAAAATTATAATCATAAGACTTTATTGATCTCCAGTAAAAAATTCACAGGTCACCCTGTTTAATTGGTACTTTTACTTAAGTAAGGAATCTGAGTACTTTTTCCACTACTGACATCAGTTTGTTGTAGGATGTTGAGACACTGAGACACTTTTACCTAACCTCTAGAATACAACAACACATAAGCTGCAATTCAACATTTCTTCTGCAATTGCTGAAGTAAAACTTACAACATCAGTTTTTTCTCAGTACTGTAGTAATGAATTATATACAATAACTGATTAAACATATTTACTGGCAATGTGGTGCTGTCTGATATATCATTAAAGCATCTATAATAAAGCATATAATGCAAGGCCTTGCATGTGAAAATAGTGCGAGTTGTCTAAAATCAATGAACATGTGTGGCGCTTGGCCTGCAGTCTAATGAAAATAACATTTAAAGAGATTAGACAAACTGTAATGAATAAATAAGAATCATGTTGGAGATTTTTTCAGTATTCACATTGTGACCTGCAATGTTGTAAGACATTTTATCCCAAACATTACTGGCTAAAAAGAATAATATATTTTATCAAATCTGTTGCTTATAAGGTGGCTCTTCTTTTGTGACACAACACTAGTTGCACCTTTAATTTGAGTTGTTTTAGGTTCACTAAATAAAAAAAAAACACATCACATAACACAAATAAGACTTATACACTTGAATAGTTGGGCAGAAAAAAACTATTTAACAATTATCGCAAGTTCATTTTTAACTTGTTCCATTTATTTTTGCAATAGCATTTGCTGATAACTGTTTTAGACTTAACCTCACATAATTACATTAAAATAATAATTGCAAAAGGAATGCAACTAAAAATACAAACATCATCTTAATCCATCTTTTTTTTTCTTTATCAACCTGAAGTTGTGTCCACATTTTTCTACTTTCCTGTTATTTAAAGATGTGTTTTTATTTATTATTTTACCTCACTTGTTAATAAATGCACTTGACAGTATCATTAAATGACTTCTGCCCATTCTTATGTTGCATTTTATCATTATTTCCCCCCCAAAATGTATCCATTAGTGGAACAAGTAGCCTACTCAGATATAATCTGCTCTGGTGTTTTAATTTTACTGATCCCATAATCCTCATGTCCTTAAGATGCCACTGAAATAAACCAGTAGACATGCCAGCCTTGTTCGTCTGGCTCCTTGCTCTATAAGCATGGTTTAGTTCTCATTTTCAACCAGCAGCCTCCATAAAGATGAACTTCTCAGTTTACAATAAAACATCATGTTCCTACTGCTTCGGTATTGTGTACATGGCTGTATAAACAAAATATGCTAATTGGCGTGTTTCCATCTATATGAGAGGGAGAAGTTGTCATTACTATCACACAAAAATTGCATAGACTGTATAGTTACTTTAGCAGGTGAATTGATTTTGCTGCTTGGTTTTTGTGTTATAGTGTAAAATGCTTGTTTTCAGTTGTAATTGGAGAGTGCTTTTATTCTGAAATAAACACAAACCGGAAGCATTTGTACTGCTTCAGCAGGCGGAACAAAGTTGTGTGATATGCTCAGTGAGAGGAGGGTTGTGTTCAAGTCAGAGGCGATATTACGGGGAATCTTGTCAACAAACTCATACAGTGTTATTTATTACCTTTATTATATGGACATTTATTGACAGATGCCTGTACAATTCAAGGGAACGGTGAGATTTCTTTAGCACCCATAAATTGTTATTAAAGCGTTGCAAATGTTAACGTTGCATGAAGTGGACGTTTTGTTTAGCTAGCAATGTAACGCAAATATGCTAACGCACAACGCAAGCTACTTGGTTAACGACAGGTCTCTTAAGGGCCCGGTGCATAGGTGGCTAACGCTTCTGGGAGGCCAAGAACGCCTGTCAGCGTTTTACGAAACAGTTAATCGATCATTATGACTATTAAGCTGCAGAGCTAACGTTAGCCAGTCTGATAATGAACTCGTCTGGCTGTTTTTTGTTGACGGTAGGAAACACAGAGTGACACAGGAGTAAGCAAAGTCTGTATACTAGCTAACATTATATACGGCACGCATGTGTTTGAACGGTTTTAAGTAACTTGCATTGAATAAATAATTGAATGCTTGCTGACAAATCTGTATATGCCCTTGCTATTTAACTGTCATTAAAACAATGTAATATCACCACCTAGTTTTATGTGTCCATCATGTATTTATCTACCTTGTCTTAAAGATTGCAACGTCTTTACAGCTTATTTACAAGATACACAGAGTAAATGTCATCTGAGCTCTGACCTCTGGAACCTCCAACCCAGACCCTATTTTATGTTTTGTGGTGAGGCCATGACAACTGTCAACATCACCAGAGACATCCTGCACAGACAGATCAGGGTGAGTAAATTCCAGAGCATCCGATCAGTTTCTCAGTGAGCAGGGACAGTGTATATATATAGAACACATTTTGGAAGTAAATAACAAATAATAATTTTAATTTTTGTAATTAGTATTTCTTGTCTACAAAAGTCTGGAAACTTTGATTCATGTCTTAAGGATAAGAGAGCATCGGGCTTCCAAAGGTTTTATCATGTGACTGACCCTTTCATCAAGAGACTTGGTCTGGAGGCTGAGCTTCAGGTTAGTGGCAGTGTGTGTGTGTAGATGGAGAGAGATGTGAGAAAAGGAGGGACACTGAGAGGATATGTATGTGTATCTTCTTCTTCTGACACTTCTGTTACACTGTCCATTTCAACAGGGCCATACTGGCTGTGTGAACTGTTTAGAGTGGAATGAACAAGGAGAGTAAGTTTGCAAACCTAAAATTTCTTCATATTTACACATTATCTCTGACTTGTGATCACTGGCAGGGTTACATAACTAAATAACTACAGCAACCATTTTATTCTTATGTGATTGCTGGGTTATATGTCAAAATTAGTTTAGTATTAATTTTTTAGCTCTGAATGTTAGTGTGACATGTCAGTGCTTTAAGGGATATGTATACTTCCAGAAATGGCTCTTTAAGGACTTCAGTCTTTGCCTTACACTTGATGCCTTCAATGCTTTAGGGGGTACCAAAATAAAAGCTATTTCATATATCAACATTTCACACTGTAAGACCTGAAATGGCATTAGTCATGAAGATCCTAAACAAATGTAGCTTGACTTGTGTCCATAATTCTTTTTCATGTTCAGTCTGCTGGCCTCAGGCTCAGATGACCAACATGCCATCATCTGGGATCCATTCAGACACAAGAAGCTTACAACTATGCACACAGGCCATGCAGCAAATATATTCTCTGTAAAGGTAAGGATGACTGATTGTAAGATGGATGCACTGAATCATAGGTTGGAAAGTTGGCTGAAAACATTTACAGCTGTAGCATTTACACAAACCTAAATAATCAAATCTAAAATATATTGAAAAATAATTGTCCTAAAGTGAGCATGAGAATGAGGTGGAGCCAACCTTATTGGTTTATGCATACAGTTGGTGGAAAATCTTCTGTTTAGTCTTATTGAAATTGATATTTTATCCATGTAAATACATGAATCTTACTTGGACTCACTATCATGAGTTTGATCACATTTTATGACAGTTCAAATTCTGAATATTATATGCAAATGATGCTCCGCTGGTAAGACACTTTGCTCTGCTTCACCTCATCTTTCTTTATTCAAGTCCCTCCAGGATTATGCCATAGCAGCAGTTAATGAAAATTAATGATTCCCTGTGAATGTTGCACAATTATGCAATTTTGTCCAATCACCTTAAATTTTCAGCAGACTGTTTACTCATTGACAGATGCTTAATGTTACAAATTCACTTGTTGTACATTAGGTGTCACTGTTGGACAATGAATAAGTGCCATGTTGTATGGCATGTTTGTTTTTTTTTGTTTTTTTTGTTTTGTTTTTGTACTTTCACACAAAAATTGTCACAACGACATATGACTGTAGCTTTATCCAGACATCTTGGGAAGGAGGTAAAGTGCTGGAGGGAAAACATCACATAATGTTGAAGGTGGTTAATGAGGTGAAGTCCAAAGCCGTTAATGAGACTTTAATCCATAACGTTCAAGCAGGAATATTGATGGATTAGTCTGATATGTGCCTATTTAAACATTTCATTAGTGTCTGAATTTGTTGTTCTTGGTGATAATTGGATTGTTATATGGTTGAAGAAGCAGCTGGTCACAAGACTGTATGTAGTCATCAGTCTGGTTTGTTTGTCTGTTCATACAGTTCCTCCCTCACTCCGGGGACAGAATTTTGGTAACAGGTGCAGCTGACACAAAGGTCCACGTGCATGACCTGACTGTGAAGGAAACCATCCATATGTTTTCTGATCATACCAACAGAGTCAAGCGCATTGCCACAGCACCCATGTGGCCCAACACCTTCTGGAGTGCTGCGGAGGATGGCATTGTCAGGTTAGAACCCAGGGATCAGAATCGAATTGCATCACGTTGTTTAGTTTAATAAAGTCCAAAGACATCCCATGCCTAATTTTGCTACAGTTACTATTCTCATTTACTCCTTGTATTCAGACAGTATGACTTGCGGGAGAGCAGCAAACGTTCTGAGGTACTGATTGACCTCACAGAGTTTTGTGGTCAGCTGGTTGAGGCCAAGTGTTTAGCCGTCAACCCACGGGACAACAACTACCTAGCAGTGGGAGCTAATGGTCCCTTTGTACGCCTCTATGACATCAGGATGATTCACAACTACAGGTTGGTTGAGATTTTGATGCCATTTTTTGGCAATGATTTTTCAACAAACACTCAAATATGGGGTGTGTGTGCTCAACCTGGCTTTTAAGCGAGTTTTTTGTTCATTATATAGGAAATCTCTGAGTCAGAACACATCAGCAGCTGTGCACACATTCTGTGAAAGGCAGAAGCCCATCCCAGATGGAGCTGGGCAGTATTATGTTGCAGGTACCCGTATGGCTGAATTGTCTTCTATCAGATTTATTTAATTGGTACTTTTGTATTCTAATCACACAGTAATGATGTGTAGGTTACAGTAAAGTGACTGTGAAGGACATAGTTGAATGACTTCTCCTTCGGTTTGAATGCTCCAGGGCACCTACCGGTGAAACTCCCAGACTACAATAACCGCCTAAGGGTCCTGGTGGCTACGTATGTCACCTTCAGTCCAGATGGCACAGAGCTGCTTGTTAACATGGGTGGGGAACAGGTAATGCTTCTTAGAACAAACAAGTGAGAGACATTATTAATTTCTAGTTTGTGCTACAATGTTAATGTTCATTTTTATGGTTCTTTCAGGTATATCTGTTTGACTTGACATTTAAACAGAGGCCATATACCTTCTTGCTTCCAAAAAAATCCACAGGTAGGTCTGTGAAAATTGTATGAACAAAAATGTTGAGTGGTGCCTAACGGAAGTACATAATGTGACATCTAAACTTTGGTTTCCTAGGAGACGTGCAGAATGGAAAGACAACCAATGGCGTCTCCAATGGAATTCACCTGCCGACCAGCCATATTCGATTTGCCGGAACCAAGCTGCACTCAAGGTAGCTATCACTTAGCTGGCAGCTGCTTTGATTGTATAAAGGCTTGAGAGCTCACAGACTAGAGTCATGTTTCTTCTGTTCTCTTTGTTTAGTTCTACTGAGCTCCCTCCTCACTTGGAGAAGATAAAGCAACAAGCTAATGATGCATTTGCACGGCAGCAGTGGACTCAGGCCATCCAGCTGTACAGCTTAGGCATCCACCAGGCCAGCTGCAACGCCATGCTGTATGGGAACCGGGCTGCAGCTTATATGAAACGCAAGTGGTAGGCCTCCTTGTATCACTGCAAAGAGATGATTTCATTATCTTTTCCAGAAGGCTATGAAAACTGTAATAGTTTATATGTGTGATTTGCAGGGATGGAGACCATTATGATGCTCTCAGGGACTGTCTGAAGGCTCTGACTCTAAACCCCAGCCACCTGAAAGCACATTTCAGACTCGCACGGTGTCTGTTTGAGCTGAAGTATGTGGCTGAGGCTCTGGAGTGTTTGGATGATTTCAAAGGAAAGTTTCCAGAGCAGGCACACAGTAGTGCCTGTGACGCCTTAGATAAAGACATCAAAGCTGCTCTCTTCTCCAAGATAGGATCAGGTATGTAAGAGTCAAATGGTGTTTGGTAGTCCTCATTTGTTAAACGAATACTGTATGTACATGTAAACCATACTTCCATCACCCTTTTGTTTGACCTTGGGGGTTTGTATAAATTCCACACTGTTAGGAGAATGAAATGGGGAGTTGGCTTAAATCTTTTTTTTTAGGTTTAGAAAATTGAGAGATGGATCTGTATATATATTTACCACCCATTTGTTTAGTTTTTAATGTGTCTCAGTGATTCTGTGGTAATAATTTGTATTTCTATCTTCACCAGCAGAAGGTGATAAAAAGGTTTATAACCACTCCACCCCACTCCACTCATTCAGCCGGAAGGAGCCCATCCCTGAAGATGAGCTGGTGCTGAGAGAGCACAGCTTGGACTACAAACACAGATACTGTGGTCACTGCAACACTACCACTGATATCAAAGAGGCCAACTTCTTTGGAAGGTCAGTAGGTCACTGTCAGCCTGCATAGGCCTCACTAGGGGGCAGTCACAAGCTCTAAAGCTGAAGAGAGAGAACAGTAACTATACAGCAGAGAACCAGTCAACCAAAATCCTACTATGAAGAGTATATTTCATTCATAAATATAGACTCTATGTACTATATGTGGCAGATTTTGTGAATGGACAAAAGTCCAGCATTTCTTTAAAAGTTTAAAATATTTACTTTAACACCGCTGAGACCTTAGTGTTCAGTGTAGGTACATTCAGTACCAAGACCATATGTTTAAACTACTCGGTACATCCAGTCTGATGTGTGATGTGGAACTCACTAAATTGTTCAGTGAGTCAAAATGTGGAAAAACTTGAACAGGCCACTGCCAGCTATGTGAATCACCAATCAAACTGGTCCATCCCTTTTAAACGGCAACAATCGAGCTTCTGTACTAAGTACAGTTGTGTGATCTGTTGAATGCTACATATTACTTACTGTTGTTTTGCAATAGATTTTCCTCCTCATTTCCTTTTGTCCTCCTCTCACCTGGTTTCCCATTTATTGGGGAAAATCCAGATAACTGAAGCCAGTGGAATGTAATACAGTGTACACAACAGAAAGCTCAGTTCCAATTAAAACTTGTACACTAGGATACCTTGCTGAGGTACCTGTCACACCAAAACCAAGAAAGCCCTGATTACACACCCCGTACAGTGAATTGAACCAAGTTGCACACTGTTCTTAGTAAATGGCCGTGCTTCAAGAACCCGGCTCATCAGGCAGCTCTGAATAGTTTCCTTTTCTCTACAGCAAAGGTCAGTACATTGTCAGTGGCTCAGACGATGGCTCCTTCTTTATCTGGGAAAAAGAAACAACTAATCTGGTGAGAATACTGCAGGGGGATGAGTCTATAGTCAACTGCCTGCAGCCGCATCCCAGCTACTGCTTCCTGGCTACTAGTGGGATTGACCCTGTGGTGCGGTTATGGAACCCCAGACCAGAGGTGAACAACTGATCATCAGTGTTTTATATATATATAATTTTGTTATATATGTCCCTTTTTTCAGAGTAGAGTCGGTACTTTATTAATCCCACAGTGGGGAAATTTCTGAAATTTCATCACCCTTTCTCTGCCCCTGTACTGTTTTATAATCCAGACAGAGACTGAGAACGGGCGGGTTGTGGAGGACATGGAAGGTGCTGCTGAGGCGAACCAGCGGCGTATGAATGCTGACCCACTGGAGGTTATGCTGCTCAACATGGGCTATCGCATCACAGGCCTGCGTGGTGTCGGCCCAGATGGTTCAGATGATGAAAACAGCTCAGAGGGACAAGTACAGTGTCGGCCAAGCTAAACAAGCCTGTCAACCATCCTGCAGAATGGATGGAGGAAGCGGAGCACTCTCCCAGCTCCTGTTTGAATTTTAGGTTCCGCTCTATCGGACAGAAACATTGAGTGAATGTCATGTCACATCTCTGCACTATGCATCTCCCTCCCTTATCCTAAGAGAGGACTGGTGGATTTTGGGGAGAGGAATTCATGGAGGGTGGAGATGACACCCATCTCGCCCCTTCAAAGCACCAACAACACCTCAGCCTCTCCCTCCAACCTCCCATGGTGGCAGGGGGACATCTTTGAGGAGAGCACCTTCCACATCGCTCCCCAGTTTCTCACACAAAAGGAGGAGTTCAGCACTTATCCCTCCTCGGGTTTACGTAGGAGAGACACACAACATGTAAAAGGAGAAGCCTGCGATCGGGCAAACCTATTTTCAGGTCAGCATGGCCACACAGTCAGTGTCCTCCATGGAGGATCGGATCACAGACCAGATCTCCTGTCTGCTCTACAGTTGAAGCCAAGTCTCATAATGCCCGTTCATTTCAGAAAGGCTGCACACCCAAGTTCTTAGCTCATGTTTTAAGTTGGAATATTCATCACCGGAAGCCTAGAACTAACTGTCACTCTCGGAGTTGTGAAAGATGCAGGTGTCGTTCCAATGACATATATTTATAAGCTTTGTTTAGTTTGCAACTGTCCAAAAAAAAGGGGATTCTTCTGCCAAAGGTTGTCGTCTGTTATTTCAGTGGCCAAGTATTAATGTTTGTTTTCTTTGTTTCATTGAAACATAATGTTGGCATACTGTCCTTCTTTAAGTGAAGAGGTTTTCACTACAATACAGGCTAAGAGTTTGGCAAAGAAATATGTGTAAAAAAAAAAATTTAGGATACTTTGTTTTAATTTCCATTGATTGCAAATGTCATTTGGCATGAAATGTTAGTGTGAAACGTCTGATGGGTATAAGTGAGACACAGATGCTAGTTTGTGGTATGTGCCAAGTGTTAGGTGGTGAGGGGCTCCTGCCCACTAGCTGTGTGGCAATAGCACTAGTCCTCCGCTGCAGTGAGGTGTTCAGTCCTGCTTGTATGAGGCTTTACTTACTGAAGGGGTGGGCATAAACAAAAAAAAAAGGACACAGATCCATCCCATCTGTTCAGAAAACAGCTCATTGGGTCTTCTACACACTCGAATAGGATGAAGGTTAAAGAATGGCTCTTCAAAATGCAACACTAGGCTTCCATATGTTACTTTATTCATTTTGACATTCTCAGTTTTTCTTTGAGCAATCCTATAATAACCTTTGTTGCAAATAAAGTAATGAATACAATTATTGCTTCTGCTCCCTAATTGGTAATATTAATGATGAATTGTTTGTCTTTTTAGTGTAACAGCTAAATAACAGCAGCAGTGACCCAGTAGTAACTAGGTTAAGAAGATGTACTGTAGGTGAGGCTACAGTAACTTTCTGGTGTCATGCTCATTCATCAGTGTCTGCTCGACTCCCTTGCTTTTGCTGACTATTTGGCAACAAATGTGAGCACAGTACATCACAAGCATGAGTAGTCGGGGGAGGTCTCATCCCCCTTTACACTGTACAGTAATGAGGTGACCCAGCTTCAGGAGTGGTGGAGGTTACGGCTGACTGAGTGTGTGGCTGCCAAATAGGCAATAGGGCTGAACCTGAAAAACGAGCTTTTCTTTTTTTTTTTTAAACAGTTGTTTAATAAGTGCCTGCCAAAATCATTTTCGACATGTTGATTTTAACAACACGTGAGCACAGTAAATATGAAGTGGCCATTTTCACTGTAGCCTATAATAATCGAAATGCATCTCTCGGATACTAAGTGAAGAGTCATACAACAAATAAAAACAGTTTTAAATAAAATAATGAAGACTTCTTTTGGTGGAAACTATGCTAAGGGAACCATGGGACACAGTAAAACCCACTCACTGAGGTTAATTACATGCCGCAATCGACGCACATATGAACGGTGGTACGTTCACTGACCCACCGTCGGTTGAACCACGGAGGCGACGACTGCGCGCTTCCGCTCGCACACCGCCTGTACGTCACTGCCATTTCCTGATCTGTCACTCCAGGCCGTGATGGCGGAGTCGGATGATATCGATATGATCATGAACTACCACGGTGATTTCTTAAAAAGCGACAGAAAAAGCAGCCGCTACCCCTACTGTATTGTCTGGACACCTATTCCTATTTTATCGTAAGAAGCTAACATGTATTGTTTATCTGCTCTTGCTAGCTCAGCGTTAATTGTGACAGCTTTGCGCTCGGGTGGCAGGTTGTTTTGCAAACGTAAAAGGCAGTGAAGCATTTTTATTGTAGATTAGCCGCTGGTAAAATCTCGTATTACCCGATTTTCCTTTATAAACAAATGCATTATGTATACTGTATTAGTCTGTTACACAATTATTAATGTCTGCTGTGTGCATCCTGCAGGTGGGTGCTTCCATTCATTGGTCATATGGGGATATGCACGTCTTCTGGAGTCATACGAGATTTTGCAGGGTCATACTTTGTCTCGGTGGGTATTGCTTTTGCACCTAATTTGTCAATATATTAATCCGATTCAATAGGCAGTCACCTCATATAACAACTCACGTCAGTGTCCTGGCTCAGCACAATCCAGTGAGACAGAAATGTATTGCAAGACGTCATGCTGACTTGCAGAGTAAAACTGCTGAATTGATAATGAATTGGAGTTGTCATCTCCAGATTCTTCAAGTTGCACGTTCTGATAATCCATAAAATTTTGACTTGTTTCCCCTAGGAGGACAACATGGGCTTTGGTAGACCAACAAAGTAAGTTTATTAATCAAAAATATTTTATTCCAGTAGTAGGACACACCAGATCACAAAAATGAACAAGATTGGCTGTTGACTGATGTTGCAGGTATTGGAAACTTGACGTGGACAAAGTCTGTGGTAACGGTGCTGCTACATGGGACAAAGCAGTGCATGATGCATCTGAGGAATACAAGTGTAGGCCGGTGAGACGATATTTAGGATTTTAATACACATATTTGCACATCATTATTCTTATAGTAATGATTACTTGTTGTGTTTTGCTGCAGCACAATTTGTGCTTTGATAACTGCCATTCTCACGTGGCCATGGCCCTTAACCTTATGCGCTACGACAACAGCACGTCTTGGAACATGGTGAACCTCAGTGTGCTGTCTCTCATTCATGGCAAACATGTGAGGTATGTATTTGAGTCTCATTTGTGCTAGCAGTGTAATAACAATGTGTGTCATGAGTATCTTCACCAGTACTGGACAGTGATGTTTTAATATCTTATTTCACCAAGATACTTAGCAGATCTTTCGCAGATGTTTTTTTTTCCAAAGTGACTTCAATTTTTCCCTTCACACCTACACATTTCAGGAGGATTTTGTGATTTTGAGTGTCTAGGTTAAGGACACTTAAACATTTGGACAGAAGCAGCTAGGGATCGCACCACCTATCCTGTGTTTACTGTAACTGAATACCCACTCTACCACCTGATAGCTGCCTTATGGGTGTGCGTCCACAGTGCATCCTTGATAGTTTGTGCCAGGTGTTGTATCACATGGGTTTAGTTAGTCAAGTTGATTGTGCTTGTATTGCCCAAACTTTGTAATTTCTAACCATATGACATCCTTATGGCATCCTCTATCCTCAGACCTTTGATTCATGTAATGAAAAACAAACAAACAAATAAATAAAAGAAGACTTCAATGAGAAAATAGAGCGAAAGAAGTGTGATAAAAGAAGTATTCCTTTTCCAGGACAGACAGACATCTGATAGTCATCATATATACTGTACACAGAATTGACAATAGTAGAATTACAAATTAGCAGTGGAAAAATATAATTGCTAACAATACTGGGCCAAACACGCTGGAAGCATCTTCATCACAAACATGTACGCAGGCTCTGCTGCTGGATGCCTGTGAGCATTAAGAAACATATGGCTCTGAAAGCCCCCCTCATTATTCTCCGCTGACCCACATAGAGAACACTGGTGTCATAATTTGTGCTGCCTCTGCAAATACACTCCCGCAGCAACCGAGTCTTTTAAACAGAAGAGGAGTCACATAATTCATCACTGACAGCAAAGCTCCCCTCTGTGTCACCACTGGAGGTCACCTCTCCACTGGGGCTCCCTACAGCATCAGGGTGGAAAGTACAGCAGGGCGTAGGCTGGGGCGTAGCCATGGGGGGAGAGGGGAGCTGTGGGCCTCTGGGATTAAAGAGGTTGGACCATGTGACATCTAAACGCACCTCACATTGTCCCTTGTCTGTCCAAAACATACTGGAGAGTGTTTTGCCTATACTTTGCCACACACACACACACACAATCCAGGTGTTGATGCTTACTTTCTGTCTTTCAGCTGGGCAGCATTCCTCAAGACCTGGCTACCCTTCGTCATGCTGTGCGGAGTCCTCGTCACATTCATCCTAACATTCAACCTACAGTAATGGAGCAAGCAGTACGATGGGATGACTCATAGACTTTGGATATACATTATACATTGTCATTGTCATATACTGTACATTGTCTCCCAGTCTCCAGGAAGGTAACTGAGGGCAAAGCCTGCCTGTTTGTGGGTGGTTTAACATATATTTTTTGTTATATATGTATTTATGAATTATTTAGGTGTCTAAACTAAAAAACACCGCTTAGAATTTTCCATTATTGTTTCTCACGCAGTTTCTCATTATTGTTGTTGTTGTGAAGAATAATAATAAGAATAATCTGTGAATAATGAAGACAGAAAGTAAGCATCAACACCTGGATTGTGTCTGTGCTTTTGTTTAGTTTATGAGCAGTATTACGACAGAAGGTCACAATATAGTAGAACAATGCCGTTCCAGAGATGTATTTTTTCATGAATGGCAAGATTGACCATTTCCAGACTGAACAATGTACATTAGAGTTATGAATCACTACAACATGGACCACAAGTTGAGCAACTACCAAAGATGAAATGATGTAGGACCCACATAAGAAATATATTAATATTGTCCTGTAAAAATCCTCCCCTCCTCCCTTCAACCCACTTTCTTCTGCTGTATAAAAACAAACGTGGTCTTTTTTTTTAGCATCATTTGCTTTTCTCCAAACATAAATTGAACGCTTTCATACTGCGCATCCTCACGCGAGAATGTTAGAAAGTCCAGGAGTAATTTCACAGTACTTTATTATGCATTCATTATTTTTTGTTTTTGATGCTATGCATTTAAATAGGTATTATTTATCATCAGCTTCAGTTATTCTGTTTTTGGAACTTCATTCTGGATCTACTGTTTACAGCACATTTTTATGTCTCTCCCAGCACATCCACCGGCTGTGGACGCTCTAATTGTTCTCTGTACCTTTAAGGAAACCATATAGCACTTTCATCCAGCAGATTCTGCGTGATATGAACTGCCACCAGTTCACAGGAACCTTTATTTCCAGAATGGAGCAGACAAGGAGCAACTGATGGTGGAGCGAGCAGTCTTTGCTGCCTCTGCAATATTTGATTAGTTGACATTCATTTTTCTTATTAATGTGCACAGACTCCTCTATGCTGCAGTGCACACTCTTGTGTGTTAACAGTGTTTTTAATTTTTCCTTTTAATTGGCTATAATTTAGAGATGCGTATTTTAGCAGTCCACATGTTTTTGGGATTTCTTCTTTGGGCACCATACCAGTGTTTGGAGTGTCCTTTTGGCTGCGAGTGTTTTGCTGTCACTCGCACAGTGAAATGTGTTTCTAAGGATCTGCTCACGGTGCCACAAAGTATTCCAGGATATTCAAGGACTGTCATCATCACAGGGAACAATATACACCAGACTGCACCTGATTCGTTTACACAACTGGAGAATGTCACCAATATTATTTTAAGCAATAATAGGTGAGAATGTCATAGTTTTTTGTTTCATTCATGCACATTAAGTCATGTTTAGAAATGACTATCTTTGTTGGTGTATTTAGTAAATAAATAAAGTCTGCTTCTGTGAATGTGTATTACTTTATTTTGCCAGTACAGTGAGATGCATGATTCCAAGCAGGAGCTATTAATGTAATATTAAATGTCTTAAGAGCAAATGTGACAGTGTTAGTGGTCTTCACAGGATTACGGAAATGGCGTCCCACAGTTTCTCTGCCCTCATCAACCTGCGCTTCTTGGACCTCAGCGGGAACCAGCTGGCACTCATTCATCCAGAGGCTCTCAGTATACCTGGCAGTCCCCTTCAGGAGCTCAACCTGAGCCACTCGCTCTACAACTTGACCGCCCTGACAGACCTCACCACGGCTCTTCGCTGGGGTGGCCTCACAGGGCTCCTCCGCCTCAACCTCTCTGGGAATCGCCTTGCCCTGCTGCCCCCGGGGATGTTTTCTCACCTTCCCAATCTGCAGCAGCTCTTCCTCGCCAATAACTCTTTGGTAGCTGTCTACAGTGGGACCTTCTCTGGCATGAACCGTCTGGAGGTGCTGGATCTGACGTACAACGCCTTCAGGACATTCAGGGATGATGCTCTACAAGAACTGGAGAAGCTCGGAAACATCCGCATCCTTCTTGGTAACAACCCCTACACCTGCTCTTGTGATATCCATAACTTTGTCACTTGGTTGAATGAATCAAGAGCTCAGGTGGATGTGGACTCTGTGAGATGTGCCTCACCAAGAGCATTAACTAACACCCAGCTGAGAGGACTTGGTGTCCAGGTCATTGGGTGTGTTAGTCCAGTCCCAGAAGAGGTGGCTGGTCTCACCCTGGAGACATCATATGTCTTCCTAGGCCTAGTGTTGGGGTTCGTGGGCATGGTCTTTCTCTTTGTGCTCTACCTGAATCGCAACGGTATGAAGAAATGGATCAATGAAATGAGAGATGCATGTCGGGACATTCTGGAGGGATATCACTACCGATATGAGATTGACTCAGACCCTCGGCTGCGGCATATATCAGTCGCAAACAGAGGCTGCAGGACACAAGGACATTCAGCCTTAGCTCTGCCACCACAAATGCCAAGTGACACCTGTATTGTCCAGGTTCCCATAGACACACAGGTCAAACAGGTGAAAACCTCCCCACCTGTGAACTTATGATCTCTTGCTGAAGCTATAATAATATGACAAACTATGAGATAGATGTAGATGCAAATAGGGTAGGCAAGTAGAAGTGATGTTTGATCTCCCTGTACAAACTGCAGTTATAAATGTTACCTTTAAAGTGCCTTTGTGTTTTCAGTAGTGACGTGTGGATCAATCCTGAAACATCAATATTTCCTAGCCCAATGTTTCCTGCTCTAGGATCAATTCCCATGTTAAAAGATCAATATCTAAAATAAGTGGACTGATCTGGGATAAATGAATATTTTATCTTCCACAGCAGACAGTAACTACTCTATCCAGGACAGTTTAATTAATACCCAGTTGATAAGAGCTACTTCTCCTTCCACTTGTCATAGTCATATGTGATCTACTGCTCTGTGAATGTGTAAGCCACTGCAGAATAATAAAATGCTGGGTGGAGGGATATAAACAACAACCAAGATGGCATGTAAGGAGCCCCTGTATGTGTGTATGTAGTATGGATGTAGTCCCAGCACCACCAGCAGTGGTGGTTATTAACCCATACCCATAGTATGGGTTAATAAAAGCGGCATGCCCTTATAGATACACCTTATATCTCCTGTCCTCCATCAGTCTCTGTTGTCTGAACCCTCCACTTGTCCCTTTGTTGTTTTTGCACTGATTATCAGTATTGGTGCTGGTACCAGTAGTGGTACCGGTACTGGTGATACCAGCCTGAGTTTTACTTGGTTTCGTATCAGAAAGGAAATAAGTGGTATTGCACATCAGTAGTTTTCAAGGCACTGGAACAGTGTATCTTCCTAAATTGACCTTAAAATTGTGTGTTTACCATACTTTTGTCAACTGTTCTTTGATCTCTGGTATTATGTTTGTAAATATCGTGACAAACTGCAGGACACGGTCAGAAAGATAAGCAACATAGATGGTAGTTCCGTGGCATGGAAAATTTGTTGACTTAAGAAAGTGTAATCTCTTTACACACAGTACATTTTAGAATAGCTCTTAATTAGATTGTGCATGATTCAGTAAAATAAATAATATGAAAACAACCATTTATTTAGCAATTTGTCTTTACTGTGCTGAACAGAAATTCATAATATGATCTTTAAATGAATGGACATAAACCCTGCTGTATGCATGAAACCTGTATTTCCATGTATTATAAATAAAAGAAATGTTTCATTTTCTTGTGCTTTTGTTGTGACTGCAGATGAAACCACAAGATACCTTGCTACACAGACTCAATTTTTTCTCCAAGTGAGGTGGCCTTGCTATTTCAGTTCAAAGAGCGTGTGATTAAATGCTTCCATAGAGGAAAAAATAGGGCAGAATGAAAGATACCGTTTGGAAATACACCTGCTGGCTGGCTCTGCAGCTGTGCACCTCTGTGTACCTGTCAGACCTACATTTTATTTGTGCATCTGTGTGCGTGAATATTTTGTTACATTACAGGCCTACTGGTTTTTCCCACCTCTTTCCGTCTACTGTGCTGATAGATCCGCCTTGGTGACGTCACGACTCACCTGTGGGTGGGTATAGGATCTGGGATTAGCAGTAACCGAGGCTAATAGCCAAACATTGGGAGGCTCACGGAAACATTAGACTGTGGGTTTTACCAAAAGAAAGACGGTACGAATGAGCTGAGTTGTTAATCGGTCGAGGCACCAGAATCCAGGTTTGTAAAGTGTTTTCTTTCATGGAAGCAAGTCACCTGGAAATCTGTGGAGGAACGTTTCTTTCCGAGACTTCCGCGGTTTGCTCGCTGAGCAAATTACCTGGGATAAAAGACAACCACAACTGTTTCTTCTTATGCTGTAAGCTAAAGTTTTGTATGTGAAGTTGAACGGGTTAAATCTTGTATGGGATTTTGTCTGTCAGTTTTCCTCCACATGTGTTGTAGGCTAAAGAAGTGTGACGAAAGTTATTATCAGACTAGCAATCAATGCTCTCTGTGTTATTTATATGCTGAGAATTTCGAGGGTGGTTACTGGAAACCGGGTGTTTACAACAAAATCTTAAATGCAGACTGTTTAAACGTGCTATGGTGCGTTTAATGCTGCAAGCATGTGCAAGGATTTCTAAACATGCCTCTCGCACAGCAGGTCCCAGGCATTTTGAGCCATGCCTGGCCACAGCACGGGGGCTCCCCAGGCGTCCCGCCACCATAAACACCACAGCTCCAGGGCAGACAAATACAGACAGAGTCGGACTATATCCAGAGACAGCACTGCCAGCCAAGAGTCCTACAAGGATCCTCACAGGGAGCATCTACATGAGCACCATACTGACCACTCCCGATATTCAGACAAGAATGATGGCAGCAGAGGCCACCCCCGAAATGGCATGGGACGGGGCTCAGAGACTATAGGATTTATTCCTGGGTCAGCAGACAGTAGGCCTGCCAGTGGACATGCCTGTGGCTCCTGTGGCTCCGTGGGCTGGAGCAGCTGTAAGGCTCTTATCTGCTGTGTACTGACCTGTGGATTTTACAGCAGTCGAGAGCCCTGCCTGCCTGTTAACGAGAGCTCCACAGACCATCCCCCTAAAGCAGGTTGTGAGCCTCACCCTCCTAATGGCATGGCTGTGAGCAACCCCACCTGTGGCGTCCCGCTGGAATGCAGCAAGATCACCAGAGTCTCTAAGCTCCCCACAAGTGACAGCTTTCGCTACCCAGATGTGCGCATCGCAGGTCAGACAGTAAGGTATCCGGTTGCTGCTGCCCCTAAACGGACACGTACGCCTGGCAAGGGAGAAAGCCACCGACCAGTCAGCAACACCAGCCTATTATCCCGTGAAGACTATGACTTAGATGACTTGAGTGATACGGGCACAGACATTGACTCTCTTATCACCAAGAAGCTGCTGGAGCTTTATGCCCTGCACCAGATTGACCAGCTGGCCAAGTGCACCTCTGACTCATCTTTCTCTCGCAAGACCAACGAGATCAGTGAGCTCATCTACAGCATCGCTCAGGACTACAACCTGGAGGAGCAGGAGGCTGAGTGCAAGCTGGTGCACGGGGTCATCCGCATAAGTACACGAAAAAGCAAGAGAAACAAAAGCCATCAGTCAACAGCACCGCGTCCTAATGGGAGGAGCAACGGGACCCTCCCTGACAGTGGAAATGAAACCATGACCAACACCTTCATAAGCAGTGACTGTAAGAAAGTCATGCAACATTTTCTAAAGCAATTAATTCTAATGATTACTGTTGTATAAATAATTGGAAAAATACCATGTGACAGCCCTTTTCACCAGCTCCTGGCTGCAGCATACCAAATATACCAAACATGTGACCTGTCTTCTCTTAGTGACTCACACTGTTGAAACTCTTCTTTGGCTCAGTGTTTAGCCCTGATACACCAGACATTCTCAAACGAATGACCTAATAACAGTGGTTAATCTGAGCCAAGTTGATACAGGTACACAGTGTCTTATAAAACATATTGTGCAATAGAGAGGATAACTAGATTCTAAAATAAGTCTTAATGTCTGCTATAGCTCGTTGTCTGCTTGTGTTCATTTATTGTTTGTTTTGTTTTTCTTATCCCCCCTGCGACAGTTCCAGAGGTGAAAGTGTCAGAGCAGACGCCATCAGATGAGCTGGCAAGGAAGATGAGACATTACAGCGGGAGGAGTGAGTACAAGTGGGAATTTTCCATAACAGACACACAGACCCCTTTGTGTTTTTCCAAATGCACGTTTGTGGAATTAGATCCAGAATCAACTAACACCACACTGTACGAGTGTGTGAATAGTGGTCAGAAATAATACACATCATACCCGAAAGTAAATTGCATTCATTGTGCTGAATGGGGGGGCGAGTTCAAACTTTTTATCAAATCCAGTTCCGAATCTCTCTATTGAGTCACAATCCTTTCTAATCTCTTATTTAAACTGTTGAAGGAGTTTGTTTGATGGGGAATTTACACCTTCCTGTTAGTGAAAGAAATGTAGGCGAGTAACGAGTAGTGTTGCTGCAGTTGAACAAGTAAAACAATGCAAAAGTGGCTTTATTCTTTCAGGATGGGTTCACTGAGAGGCCAACAATATTTTTCAGCAGTGCCCTGTTTACATTCACACCGTTACATATTCACACCTGGAAGCAGCCCAGTACAACCACAGACTGCCCTGTGGCCACTGAGCAGCTCCACTGGAACGGTAGGGGTTAAAGGTCTTGCTCAGGGGCACCACAGTTGCATTAATGAGGGTGGGGCAAGTGCTGTTTTGTCACCTGTCCCACCCAGACTGAATCCTGGCAGTCACAAACTTGTATGTTATGCCCTCCGTTGTGTGTACCAAAGGCATAGCCAGGGGTGGATTTCGGATTTAACCACCACCAGACAGAACATGTTATGAACATGGAAGTTAGTTCCTCAGATAAAACGCTTCTGCCTTCCTCTTTGATGGTAGTGGTGTAACAGATCATAGTTGATCCGTGATCTGTACTGATCCTCCCACATGGTTCAGTACACATGTGAACTACGGATTAACTGCTGGTAAGATGCTACCTCGCTGTCCCTGGCACTTCAGTTTTTAGCTTTTCCTCGTCAGGAACCTAATGAGAATTTGAAGTTGTGATGTGGTGGTTGCACTTTGCTTTTCTACTGCATTTTCTGTGTCTGTAGCTCTCTCTCTCTCTCTATCATGAGCAGAACACAAGCTTGTAGAAATGTGATGTCTTTGCTTGTAGTGAACTAGCCTCAGTCCTCATTTTATCTCTAAACCAGCATGAGCGGAGTCCTCAACTGCAAACAGATCAACTCACTCCCCAGACAATACTGACATCTTCATATTTATATTTTTTATTCTAAGATTTTATTAAAACATTGGGCATCTTGAATATTGTTTTCATCTAAAACCATGGGCAACATATTCCTTATGATCTTTAAGTAATTAATGAACCAGTTTTATTTGTCCCCCCTTTAATGAATTTTTTTTTAATTTATGTATTTATTTATTTTGCTGATCCAGCAAATTAACTGATCCCAAAACCACGATACGATCGGAACTGTGAGTTTTATGAACTGTTCTACCCTTATTTCATGGATGGACATTTTAACTTTACATAAAGTTAGTAATGTGGTAGGTTTTAATTTAACTTACCCTAAAACTGATGAGAGTCGATTAGAGTGGAATATTATCATAACATATTCAAACCAAAAGAAAGGTGTAAATTAGTGGTTTCCAGTTTTTAAATTCTTCTTATTAAATAACTCTACCTTCCTGGAACACCCCACCACAAAAGAAATTCCTAGCTACATCCCTGGTGTGTACCCTCTTGACAATATTGCAAATTACAGTTGCTTTGTTGACTTCAGGACATTTAAGCCAGACTGCTATGTTTATTGTTTTCAGCAGCATCGCTGACCTATCACACATTTGTACACGTTCTTTGCAGATGCCTGTCGTGTCAGAAAGGTAAAAAAAGACTAAGCTAAAGGGCGGATGTGAGTGAAAGATTTGAGAGATAATATTTGTGTGCAAAGTGTAATATATCTATGTGGTCTATCGACTTGGAACTGCACCCAAAATATAGATATCAGAACCATTCCTAGCGCCGATAGAGCTCCAGCCTTTATTTCTCCTGGGCACTGAGGTATAATTACCACCCCGGTGTGTGTGCATCAGTGTATGGGGCTCAGTTTTGGTGAGCCATTGTAGCTGCTGCAGCTGCAGGCATTTTCTCACCTCCTCTCTGCTTTCCAGTAACATACCACTCTTTAAATAGTGAAAGCCCTGCATTCTTGCCCTTTTCTCTGCATATTACAATCCCTCATTCGTTAGTCATCTCCTCCCCTCATCTGCCACCTTACACTCGCCTATCAGTCTACCTCATCCCCTCCAGCTCAGCAGTCATGCTACAGCAGCAGATCTGGTCCCATTAGACATCTGCCAATAATGTCCCCTAGTTTGTCATTTTAGTTAGCAACTTGGGTTACAGATGGATTACCACACAGCAGCCCCTTTCTTGTTGTTGTTGTTCCGTGAAGAGGTATTTTAAAGGCCGGGGTGTCCTGTTACATGTCTTTGAATGAGGGTACAGCACAGTGTTTCTACAACTTTCACATTGTGGCCTGATGATGTGTCAGCCTCTAGTTAACCTCAGTGTTTCATGTCTCACCTTTCATGCATGAAATATAACATCTGCTGTGCTGCCTTTTTTTTTTTTTTAATCACTTGTATATTCTTGATGTTTACTGCATTAAATACGTTTTGTTTTTTTCCTCTGGCAGTGTACTCATCCAGCACCATGACAACCTACTCCCCCAGCCATCATGACACAGAAACAGACTCTTCAGGTGCTCCTCTGCTTCTCTGAAGGGCAACACAGAACCAAATGTACCTGAACTAACAAGGGATGTAGCCAAAACTAAATGGACCATTTTATGCTTCTGCTGCTGTATCATTTATGCTGTTACTGAGTGGAGCACTTTTGGGCAGTTTTAATGGGCCGCAAACATTAGTTTGCTATTAAGTTTGTGGACCTTTGTATCTTTCCAGCAAATGCTCCAGTAAGGAAACTTTGTTTTTTTTACACAGAAAAATATGATGTAGGTTTTACGTATTAGTATATAGTGTTTAAAGCAGTTTTCAGAAACATGACTACACTCCATGAAATCTTAGCAGTCAAGTCAGAGGATAGAGACTGATGGTACAACACAACCATCCTCATTCTTGTCTGTGTGATTGTTTATGCAAGCCACTGTGCATGTACTGTTTGCACGGGCCTATTGACTCCTGTCATTTAGATGACTAAGAGGCATGTTTTGACCTGAAAACTGTGTTGGTAAGCCACATTTTCATACACATGTGTACATATTTTTAAATCGTTACATACTGGGTTGCTTAACCCTTTGTGGCATTTAGCCACTTTTTTTTTTTAAGTTCATGTTTGTTTTTAACAAAATAAAAATGCTTGTTTATGCTGCTTCATGTGTAATTCAGTGTATTTATATGTACAGAAATGTTGCTTAGGTCACTGTTTCTCATTTTAGCTCAAAGGAAAGACATGCTTGTACAGAGAGCTGTGTCAACGTAAATAAAATTACTCATGCAGTCTGGATATAAGCAGCTTAGGTTTGCGACACATAATTTGTTGTCATTGCTACATATCTTTCCTTCACAAGGTTTTCTGATGCTGAATCTTTAGCTCACTTTTCTTTCTTTTTTTTCCCTGGGATTATTGTTGTCAGGCTCATCTCCTCGAGGTCACAGTGTTAAACCAGACAGGTTTTTTCCGCCTCCAGCAAAAGAAGGAACTTGCTTGGCAGGTTCTGACAAAAAGGAAATCAAATAATGGGGTTTGCTTTTGTTATTTATTGCTGTGGAAAAGGCGGTGCAGAAAATCTGCCTGATTTCAAGATCCTGTCCTGAAGTTCTACATTGAAATGAACTGTATTTACTAATGTATATTTTAGGGTGTACCTTAGTCTTAAAGTGGTATGTCTTCAGATGATGGGCTATTGTTGCATCTGCCAACAAAAAAATGAACACAAAGGCCATGCTTGTTTACACTAAGTAGACAGTTGGTCTATATATAAGTTTTCGGGTGCAGTCATAATTACAGTGCTGTTTTGTGTTAGGGCAATACGCATGTTGTATTTAGTAATGCGGCCGATAGCTGCCCCAGCCTTAAAAAATGGTTCTATAACAACAAAACAGGTGATAAATAGTTCTATATGTAGAGGGGGGAAACCAATTACTACTCAGCAAGCCCAATAAACTACAAATATCTAGTTTATCTGTATTTTTCTTGCCTTGCGTAACCCCATTTCTTCTGGCTGTCTGCCCCCACCAGCACATTCCTGTTTTACTTGTATGAGGTGTTATGTGAAGGCTCACTCTTTCACAACTAACATACCACAAGTTGGGATGAATCAGGACAGCTTGTTCTATATCAAATATAGCCTGCACATTGTTAACTGCAAGCTCTGACTTTTACTTTTACAGATGTTTCTTCCACTTGTGCAATAAAAATGTGATTTTTTTTTTTTGTAGGGCTTTTGTTAATGAGTGCAGCAAAAATACCAGAACTCAGTTTAATTTTCTACACTGCCATCCTTTTATCATTTATCCAAATATAGTAAATGTGTGACTTCCACTCTTTTCCATGAGAGGGAGACATATGTTTTTTTTTTCCACTGCACACCGGCTCGAATCGACTCCACTTGCTTTTGGTACCAGGTGCTTTGTTTTTCACTGTAGATCGTAGCCCCTCAGTGTAGCTGGTTGTGTAACGACACCTCATGAAACTGCTGTGACATCATCAACTAACACACTAACAATGGAGGGCACTGATGTTTTTATTATTATTCTTATTGTGAATTTCAAACAAAAATACAAACAATTTGGCAATAAGCAAATACATTTAGTTTATAACAGCAAAACAAGGTTGTAAATAATGGACAAAAGGATAAGATATATGTAAAAAAAAAAATTGAAATAACATTTTTAAAAGGTGTTAGATGGTAAAATTGTACATTATTCATTCATGATGTTGAATTCATGACATATGGAGTGCATCTTTATACCATGTATTTTTCCTCTGATGTAATGAGGGAAAGAAGTTATTATTATTGTTGTTGTTGTTGTTGATCTTTTAAGAACAAAGAAAAGACGTCTGGTTTTTAAGCCTTGACATTTGTAAATGTAGAATTTCCCAAGCAAAAGAAGTACATTTATAAGAAATTCAGATTTACTTTGAGGTAGTGACATAGTAAAAATAACATCGTTTCATTTCACAGGTGGAAGAGCAGAAGCTAACCCGAGAAATTGGAGAGAACAAATAAATGGTCAGATGTTTCTATTGTCATTATTACAAAAAGTACAGATGTTGTGATCATGACCAAATCTTTTTCTTAACAATTCATTTGATGGATAGATATTACTGATTTGTTTTAGGTGGTACTGGGAATTTAAGATGTTTAGTCGTCAAGCATCTGGTTTACTAAAAGCCTGACAAATTGCATTTCTGTTTGAGTGAGTCGAATAAATTATATCGGTGAAGTGATGTCGTAAGGATTTGTTTGGGAATTTTTGGTTTGCAAAATCCTTGCCATCAGCGGTGAGGGAAGGGGGGTTTGGGATAATTCACTGAGTTGAGATCGTGTTTTGTACCATTAAAAGAAATGATGTCGAAATAGCTTTCAAGATAGAAGTGAACTGGGATCATGTGTAATTTAAGTTAAATCTGGTGCAGAAATCATCATAGGTAAATATAGAGCCATTATAATCCATCAAATGAATAACAGACCAAAAACCTTTTTTCACTGATTCACCAATAAACAAAGATTTTTTTTTTTGTTGTATAAAATATATCTGTTATTCCATATAGGTGATTTGTTTGGACTAAAGTTATGATTATATATAAACTTTCAGGATAATAGTACCCTCTGATGAAATGAAGATAATTTAATTGGTAGTCTAGGGATATGGAAATCACAATTTAAAAGAAGAGCAACACCACCTAGTTTTTTAAATAAACCTCTAAGGATGTGAAACCAAATACTAATGTTATCTTTTATAAAGGATTTAAGCCATACAGCTGTAGAGCTTTGAACATAAATGGGTGTTCAAGTGAACAAAAAGCTTTGTAAATATCAAGAAATAGGATGGCACCATCATCCTCCATCAAGTCTTTACAGTCAGTTAAATCCTATACTAAGAGTATGTATGTTGTTATGTATGAATTGAGTGCTCTTTAATAAATCCAGATTGAGTTTCACTCATTTTTTGAGAGAGTCCTTTTTAAGGCAGTTGTTGAAAACATGAGCTAATATTTTGTAATCACTGTTAAGTAGAGAAATGATGATCTAGAACTTTTTGGTCCTTTCCTGGTTTGGGAATTAATATAATTGTTCCTTGTCACATAGCGATGGGGAGAATTTTGTTATGTATGGCCTCGGTAAAGGCCTGAAATAATATTTTTCTCAGTAAGTTCCAGAAATACCTATAAAACTTGGCTGTGAAACTGTTAGATCCTGGACTCTTGTGTAAAGCAAAACACTCAGCAGTTTTATCACATTTTTCAAGATTTAAATCAGCTACTACTTTGAAATCTTAGTTTATTTGAGGGATCAGACGAGAAAGTGTTTTTAAAAGGTTTTCTTAATCAGGCTCCAAGAAGGAGGAGGAGAATACAGGTTTAGATTTTTAAAAAGGTGTCTGTTTCTTTATTTATTATCAGTGTTGAGTGTATTGATTTGATTTTTTTCCTGTCTTTTTTAATTTGTAGAAAAAGACTATTTCACCCCCACCCCCCACCCAACCCCAGTCCGTTTGGCTCTTGATCTTATCTATGTTCTTAAGTAGACAATTTGAATTTTGTTATTTTCTGAGACATTAAGTTTATTGCAGCATTTGCTGATCTCTTGATCAATTTCCTTTCCCCCTCCCTATTATGCAATGTTTTGAGAGTTTTACTGAGGTTTATGGAGACCTGCCTTATTTTATATTTAATGTATTTCCATTTAGTTGTAATGGATGAAAGGTTAGTATCTGCTAATGTTTCTGCTATTACTAATGTGATAACCTCAGAATTTTTCATTATTTAACATTGAAGGTATGCTGAAACTCTTGGGCATGTTTCATTAGAGTGTAGAAAGTTTAGCATAGAAAGAGAAACATTGAACGAGAGGGTAATTAAAATTGGAAGGGTGTGGAGTAATAAAGGGCTGTTGGGGATACGGGAGAACCAAATGCAGATGCAAAGATATTTGTGTAGGTATTTAGAATTAACTGGGTTCATACATATAGTCACCGTCCACTTTATTAGGTACACCTGTACAACTGTATGCAATTCAGTGCAACACTTTTGCCTTAACATCAGTGTTTATGAAGCTCTAAATGTTTCACTTTTTGGCAAAATTGTCATAAACATATAAATTCAATTATATGTTTATTATTGAGGTCATAGTTAAAGGTGGTGTTATAATGGACTACATTATTGCACGAGGCACGGGCGCCGCTGGGGGGGGAGGGAAAGTTAGGATGATTCTAAGGGCCCATGGACTTTGGGGGCCCACAGAGACTAGCTTTGGGTGAGGTAGAGGGCCCAACTTCAAATTTTTTCATAGGGCCCAAAACTGCTAGCGGCGCCCCTGGCAGGAAGTATTAATCTTACTGATAGAAAATGCAGCAATAAACTCATACATGAAACCATTCACAATCAAAATAAGATTGTTCCATCAGTTAAATTCTACCGGGCTTCACTCACAGATGACATTAATTGGAAAAAAAACTTGGTTAATTTCTCACATATCCCATATTTAATAAGGTCAGAGAAGTCAATTTTAAAATTGGACACTTTATTTCTCCTACTAATTCACGTATTGCAAGATATGTAGCCATTACAATAACAATCCTCTTGAATATACTGTCAATTTTATAATGATGCCAGAATTTTAGATCCATAAATCTAGAAAGTCTAAATCTCCCCTAATGTATTGTCTTTCTTTGGTGAAATCCAAAGCCTCTTGCAATCTTTAAAGCTTGTTAAAAACCACAAGGAGGCCTACAAACCTGACTCAGTTGCATCAGTTCTGTCAGGAGGAGTGGGCTGTAGTTCCAGGAACTTATTGTAAGAAGCACATGGAAGGCATCACAAAATGTTTGACCCAGGTTCAACAGTTTAAAGGCTATGCTACCAAATACTAACTAAAGGTGTGTAAACTTCTGACCCATTGGGAATGTGATGACAGAAAAAACTGCTGATATGAATCTTTTTCTCTTCTATTATTCTGATTCTTAAAACAAAGTACTGTAGTGACACTAACTGGTCTAAGACAGGGGATGTTTATAGGATTAAATGTCAGGAGTTGTAAAAAAAAAAAAAAAGAGTTTAAATCTGTTTGGCTAAGGTGTACGTAAACGTCTGATTCCAACTGTACAATTGTCTGTTTTCTACATTATCAGTTGCTTATGTCATGTTGATCAAAATGTATTATATGGTTCTCTGTTGAATATCCTGACCTCCCAAAGCAATTAGTCATGAGTTCATTGCAGATGTCATTACATACAACACTAGTTGTCTTTAGTATCTGTCAGGCATATTTCTATACAGCTCTGTTAGACTTTTTTTGCAACTTTGTCTCAATTGTTGCATTGCTCTAAGGTGAATATTGACATTTGCTAATGAAGGAGTATGTGTGAAGTGGTAGATCAACCATGCATATCATGAACCTTCGGTATAGACGGAGCACAATACAGAGTTACAATTTCTAACAATGGAAAAACAAGAAAATAAAGAGCATTAACTACCAGGAAGAAGAGGACTAGGGCTGTGTGGTGGAAGGTTAGGGTGGCAAAACAGAGGAATAGGGTGAAGAAGCCAAGGACATCAGCATGTGATTAAAGGGTCACACTTGTGGACCATGTTGTCCGTCCTGGCTTTACAATGGCTGAGGCTGGTCGAAGGCAGCTGAATGCTGGGAGAACAACTGTTCTGTCTAGGGGCCGTTTCCTGTACTTACATTTCTAATGTTGTGTCTTTTCCTTTGCACTATGCAGTGCCATGCAACACTTTCTTTTCTGTATCACAATGACAGTAAAAATACTAAAAGCCTAAATGTGAATTCTGTTTTCTCTTTTACAATCCATCTCCCACATGCAGTTGAAATTGACACATGCCGTACAGAACAAGTGTGGCCTTGTGTATTTTCAATCATTGTCATCCAAACCTGAGCCACAGTTTACACAAAATACTTCCAGAGTACACTGTTGTATTGACAGCATGGCTAAACATTCTGACTGCCATGTTTGCAAACGATGACACAAGGACTTGTCATTCTGATGGAGCTGACATGTTCACTGACACAAGTATTTACTTTTGGGGAGAGATAAGCTAAGGATTTTGAGCCACTGATGTGTTTTAGCAGGTAATCCACTGTATGGTGGTGTTTGTATGAACTGTTACCATTTTTCAAATATTAAGGGTTATTTGAGAAACGTACTAAAGCAACTGAGAAAAACTGTGTAAAAAAAGTGGCGTGAGCAATACTTGGCTGTACACCACACCAGTAATGATGGACCTGCTAAATGAGCTGTAGGGGTGAGGATGCTCAGAACAGTGTATGATTATCACCTGCATAAAACAAATGCTGTGTCAGATTTGGCTCAGAGTGAATGTTTTTGAAATAATGTGACAGAACTTCACTCTTATATTCATGTACAAAAATATATTTATTTGACATTCCGTAATTAAAGGTAAAACCTTTTTGAAACGTTGAACCACACAGAAAAGCTAATCAAATAATAACAGTGGGTACAGTCTGTCTTTATGTGGACAGTGGGATCTTTACACTTCAGCAGATACAGTCTTTTCAGACTGGCTCAGCTTCAACATAAATGAAGATAATTCATATTTTCATGTACAACAATTCACAGAGCTTTTGTTGGCTATTCTATGTGAATTTTTTTTTTCTTTTGCACAACCCACTGTCAGGCAAGTCCTTCATTTCATGAGGGACGATTGCTTGAGTTGATCAACAAAAGTTTCAGTTAAAAACAGTGAATTCAACTTTCTCCAGGACAGGCAGACAAAGTTCATCTCCTCTATCTGCAGAAGAGCATGTCAACCAGCAGTGCCAGCAGATCCGCCTGGCCTATCATAGGCCGGAAGAAGAGTTCAGTGATGAGGCTGGGTGTGATGCCCTGCAGCATGGAGGCTGTGAGGAGGATTTGAGCAAAGCGCTCCTGGTCCCCTGGGTGGAGGAGCTGGACCACCTCGCTGAGGGCATGCTGGGCTTCCTGTTGCAAGCCTTCAACAAACAGAGCTGCCTTTAGATTTGGGACATCTGTTAAATGTAAAAAAAGGAAAATTTTAGTTTTACTACTGTAATGTAAAAATGAACAGTTATACCAAAAAACTCATATTGTTTGGAACCATTTTCTTGTCATTTCATTTAAAAGGGACTAACACAGATGAATATATAGGCTACCTGGATTAAATATTGTGGTCCCTTTTAGGTATGCGTACTCCTTTGGACTCAAATCCAAACTCCAAAACTTTTTGAGGCAGGACTTGAGTTTGCTGACACCTGCCATGGTGGGTTGCTCCATCTCAGGGTTCTCCTGATGGTTCAGGAGAATCTTTTTCAGCATGCTGTCAGCAGGGTTATCAGTCACCTCAAAGTCCACATGCTCCTGAGCCAGACCCAAAATGAAGAGTGGTGCCCAGCAGCTTTTGAGAAGCAAGAACTGGTCGTTTGGTGGCAGCTGGTTAAAAGCGGGTAAGTTCTTCATGAAATGGGCAGTTTTAACCAAAACTGTTGAAGCTTCTTTACAAATCTCAGCTGGTCTTTTCAGGCACACAGTCCGTCGCAGCTCACAGTAGCATCTATGAGGTACTGAGCTGTAGTTTTGGCTTGATTTGCTGTTATCCATTTGGCTGAGGATGTTGTAGAGGATGGGGTTTGAAAGCCTGTCGCTGTTGGCTAAACAATTACATCTGTTTTCCATTTTATAGGTTGGATAGGTCTCTGTAGTCAAATCTAAGTGCCCTCTCATTTGATGGGCTTGTGAGCACTGCTGCCGCTACCTCTATTGCGCCTGTATTTATAAGGCCAAGCCCCACCACCTAGCTTTGTGGACCTTGACTTGTCAACACACTGTGAAAAACAACTGTGCATTCTGCCAGGTGACTAATGGAATAACCCTGGGAAACCAATAAGCTTTTCTCAATGGAAAGGAGCTCGCGGAGTAACGCCTGGCTATCACTAGGGTTAGGTCTTATCTTGTAGTCAGTGTCATTAACCCAGGCAGTACCATGCTACCAAGGACTGCAGAGGTAATCAGCCCCACACTCTGTCCATGCAAACTGCCAACTCAGACCTGGAGAGGTAGAAATAGCCCAAAGCAGAGAAAGGGCATCGGCCTTTGAGTTATGTCATTAGGCATACCAAACATTTTGAAATAAATGTTCTAATTATAGAACAGCACTGTGATTTCAAAAACCTAAGTTGGTGGTAATTGATGATATAAAACTGCCCAACCGAGTCTTTTTTCACAATTTTTGTTTGACTTTGATAATGACGAACTCAATCAAAATCAACCAACATACTGTAGCTTACCTCTACACAGCAGTAGCTAGAATTTTATAAATACTGAGGCCTTTAGTTGCTTGAACAAGTAGCTTATTCAATTTCATTTCTGATCTGAGACATGTACTAAAGCAACTGAAAAAAAAACTGTAAAATTGGGATTTTCAAAGTAATTACATCATGTAGGAACTATGAATGTCTGTATAGCATATCATGGAAATGTGATTAACTGCTGCTGAGATATTTCACTAAAAATCCAAAAATATTATTAAAAATGAAAATATAAGATATTCCAGAGCTTTGGTGCGTCTCAGCCTGACTTTGTAAAGTTTTTATTCTGAAACAGGGAATTTCAAGGTATTTATCTGTGGTACACTATTCCCCTTGTCATTTAAATAAGTTTAATTTGCTATCTTCCCTGTGCCTGGCACAGAGGTTTGAGGCTGATAAGGAAATGACTTTATTATTGTCGCAAATAAACAAACAGCACATTTTTGATAACATCTCCTTTAGTTTGGACATTTAGAATAAAATGTTTGCCACATGAAATAGTCACAGGTAACACCTTATATAACATATTAAAGCTCTATATTTTTTGGCAGCACAGGCTGAGAAGCCAGGTACATCACTGGATATAGGTTACAGAAGAAGATTTAAACTACACTGCAGTGGAGTCAAGGTCAGTTCATGAAGTGAATGATGGCAATCAAAAGATTACATACCAGACACAATTGGCAGCACCAGTCACTGAATGTTTTACTCCACCAGTCTCTTGACTCACTGTGTCAGAGACTCTTCTAGAATATGTTTCAGAACCTCATTTTCTTTACACATGATAATTATTATGATACACAGTGATTATTCATATAAGATGTGACACACTAACAGGAGAAAAGTCATAATGACCACAGCCTCAAATACATGATGAAACATTTTCGAGAATGTGATCCTTTCTGTAAAGTGACCTACAATAAACCCAGCAGCCTCCAGGCTTTATGAAGTATGCTGACAGCAGTAAATGCTTGTGATAAGGCCTGTGTTTATAGAGGTTAGGAGCAGGCAGAGACAGACACGGAGGACAGACACTTATCTCCACCAAGACAGTAAAAATACAATGTCCTTCATTCTATAAGTGGAGCAAACATCATATTCTGAGACCAAGGATGTGAAACAGTTCAGGTCTGATGAAGCATGATGTAATGGCTGGCACATGAAGAACATCCAGGCCCTGTTTTACTATTATTTTTAAGATACCGAAGATACAGTACATTCAAACTCTAAAATCTATGAGGACATTATGATTAGGACTGTGGTAATAGTATAATTTGTCCGTCACTGGATAATAGATCTGTGCCAGTATCTCTCCCATCCACAGAAACCTACTTTGCTTTTTTTTTTAAAGTTTCTCCTAAACATTGACTTTTGCTTTTTCTGTGGCTTTACTAATCCCTGGTCATTGAACTCTCGGTACTACCTGTGCCTGTGTGATGGACGCAGATAGTCTTAACCTTGACCTACTGCTATTCCAGAGGTTCATTTGCCTAGCTCTATTTTCACAAGGCCATCAACCCAAATGTGACATTTACACTGTGTGGTCATTTGAATCTTGGAAAAAGTCATTTAATTATCCTGAAATTCAAACTCTTGGAATTCAGTTCACTTTTTCTTTTTTTGGCTAACCATAACTGAACCAGAATGCAACACATACACGTTAAAACAATACAACTCAGATAATTTTCTCAGTGTGATTAGATATTTCCAGATTTAATTTTACACAATATTTTACTCAAGCAATTTAAGCTCTGTGCTTGTTTTGTGTTAAAACACTGAGACTCTTGAAATGTTTTAATTTTTTTTCTCAATAGAGAAAGGTGTTTTTGTAAAAATAAGTTCTATATTCAGTGTGTTGTACTGGCACTGATATAAAAACTGTGTAAATAAACAAAGCCCTAAAATTTTATTGTGTTTCATTTTAAAGTTCCAAAGGCAAAAATCTCCAGTGCAATGACCCTTGACAGGGTGTCACGGTATATTTGGTGTGTCTGGAAAAATGTCTTCTCTTCCGTATTGGTTTATTTAACATTTTCCAGCACAAACAGAAACATAACACATGTTTATATATGTGCTAGAAAGTTTGATTCTTTCAGTAAAAGCACAGTTCCAAGATTCTAAACTCAAAAGTAGGACTGAATTCTAAATTAGTGTAAAATTAAGTCTTTAGCGTGAGACAAAGGCCTACTAAGTGTGCCATATCATGAGTAAGGTAAAGTCAGGGTCCAGACACCTGGGCCGACTTTTACTGCCCATTACTTTTAAAATACAATGATAAACTTGAGGTGAAGGCCAAAGGAAGAGTTAGTCTCTGGGTTAATGAACTGTGACTCAATATGGTCCGTGGTTGTCTCTCTGACAGAGGTTGCACATGTAGAGATGTGAAATACTTCAATATTTTCTTAAAATATCTACTATTTTGTCTTTTGTCCTATGGAATGAGGTCTCTCTTAATAATGCCTATACTAATGTGTTTCTTATTTCTCCCTTTGTACAAAGAGTTTTGTGTTTCTTTGCCTTCCTTTCTTATAGTCTTTTTCCTTTCTAATAGATAGAATAGATAATGGGATGGGTATGTAGAATATTCCGAATGAGAACAATAAAGAAATACAAATTATATAGAAGCAAAGCAAGAAACAAAAAAGCCAGTTTCACTTATGTTTCAACCTGCACTGATAACTCTGGTCAATAGAGTTTATTTATCTTTGTAGGCCTACGACGTGTCCCTTTTCTGGTCTTGTGTCACTGTTTACTCATTTGCTCATACTTTGTCACTGAAACGGTTGTTAATTTTTTTAAGATCCTTGCCTAAATGAAGCTGTTATTGGCCTGTTGTACAGGCCTGCAACCTATTACCGAGCGCATCATATATTGTAGATCATTAAAAACTGCTACCAGTGCTGTGATGAGGACAATACAATATTTACATATTGGTGCACAAAGGCATTAATGACAGCGGGTGAAGTCAGTCCGACCGCTGTTCCAAACAATACTTTCGTTACTACCACGGGGATATACAGTGTGTTTAACCTTCTTTTTATCGTTTCGGCCCGACAAAAGTAGTTGTAGGTCTAGATAAAGTGCACGACGTCTTTACAGTATGAGCACGCTCCCGCGGACCGTAATCTGTTTCTGGCAGACATTCTCTTTTGCTACAATAACCAACCATATATGCAGTGATTATAATATGCATTTATTGTATTTTTAAACAAACATTTATACAGTTACATGCAAATAAATCGTATTGTATAGATACATATAAAATATGCTAACTAGGCACATTTCTAAGAGCCCCCTGAAGTGTCGTTTTGAGATTTTCAGGAGGTCTGAGCTACCAGTCAAAGAGTGTGAGGCCGCCAGGACCCGCTGTATTTCACACACTTCTTTCAGCCCGCTTTCTGAAGGTGGGGTCTCCCTAATGAATTAAACAGCTTGCTAAAAAGACGCTGGCCCAAATTTGGCTAATAACTGAGTTGTAAAGTATGTGTATACCTGACTGATTTATTAGCTAATAACCGTTGATTAAACCTTATAAAGCCTCTTCTAAAATGTGGCATATGAGAGCGCGGTGCGCAAAATAATAATGACATTTAAATAGTAATATTGCGTAATGACGTTTGGTAACGTCTCGGGAAGCGGATATGACGTTTTTCCAAATGTTGCCTACTGTTGGGGAGATAAACAATCATGGCGGATTCCCAATCTGAAGTTCCAGTGTATTTTGCTATTAGTAATATTCCTGTAGCCTTTCGCTCAGTGGACCTGAGAAATTATTTCAGTCAATTCATTGAGAGCGGCGGTTTTCAGTGTTTTCACTACCGTCATCGGCCGGAGGTACTCAAAGAGTCCGAGGGGCCCCAAAGCACAGCGTGTGGTAACGCTAACGGTGAAGAGGGCGCCTCGGAATCGTCGGAGACTGACCAAGATCCAACAAATAGCTCAGTGTCGAAGAAGACGACGAGGTCGTGCTGCTGTATCGTCTCCGTTCATGCCAAAGACGCCGAGGGGTTCGTCAGGATGTATGGGGGAAATCACTGGATTGACTCGAAGGGGAACTGGTTGGCTAAACGCTGTGTTATCAAAAGAGTAAAGGTTTCACACGATAAAGGTAAGTTATATATGTATCCTATAAAGTCCCCGCTATTAATTGAACCGGGTAGGAGGGCAAAGTTACAACACGTTTTGTCGTATTACTTTTGTGCCATCCAAATAAATAAAGGGGGGCTCCACCGACTTTATACGAAAAATAATTTACTCAACCTACGACAAACGTTTTATATTCTCTCTTTTTGGCTCCGCAGAGGGCTTTGTTAAGCCTTAGAAAAAAGACTGGTGCCATGAAATAAAATAATCTCGGCTTGAGTTTGGAGAATACAAATTTTATAGCACAAAGCCTGCCTTACGAACTGGTGTCGTAGATATGTTACATTATGGAAAGTGTAGTGTTCAGTGTTGTGAGAACCTGACTTTCTAGGTTAGAAGCAACAACATATCTTGGCCCTTGCTGCTCTCGTTTTGAATGTTGTTGTTTTTTATTGTTGAGTTCTTCAACAATATGTGTACTGCAATTAAGGAGTGTTCAAACTGTGTTAAAACTGCCCACTTGGTCATTTCCCTATTCTATATAGTTTGCAGTTATATGAAAAGGAGGTGAAAATATATCTTAGTTTTTGTGAGGCTACTGTATAATCACCAAATATTGGATTTTTTTTAAACAGTATCAACATTGCATTTGTGTAATTTTCAACATAGACACTAACAAACAAAATTTTATGGCACTACATTTTGTAAATGGAAACCTCAGTTAAATAAAAAGTGAGGATGCATCTCACTTTTTCCAGACCAAGTACTTACATTTGAGTACTCACCCATACCAAGTGCCTAATGATGCAGTGTTTCTATTATAAACACTACAATTACCATAAACGTGCAGTGACTTTAGAGACAGTTTAATTTCATGAGATTTACTTTCTGATAGCGATTAAATAGAATATCCTATGTAACAGGAGGCTGTGTAAATGACCTGAAAACCTCCTGTTCATGCTGTAATACAGTGGATTTTAACCTCTGTAGGAGTGCGACCCTCTGTTAGGATGTAGTGATTTCACAACCCCCGAGACCAGAACATCGCAGTCGATAAGTTAAATGTTTAATTTAACGACGGTACGTGTTCTTACTTTAAAAAGGCTGCTGTCTGTGGCTTCATCCTGTCCTCTCTGAAGGACACACACCTCTTCTGCTGTGGAGGAGCTGCTGGTCTCAGTCTCCACAAGGATTCAACCCATGTTCATACACAGAGCTCATGTGGCATTAACCACATAAAGTTAGCGTTTGTGTTCTTCCCATTCACAACAGTTCACTACAGTCAGCATAGTGAGCACCGTGGTGGTTTTAGCGCAACGAACGGGACCAGGCATTTTGACCGTTTGTTGTGTTTTGTTTCTTCAACAGGTGTTTGATTAATTACTCTCTCCATTACTGCTGGTTTTGTTGCACATATCGAGTGTTGACGTCTTTGTAAAATGGACCTCGTGCCCATGTGTCTGTGTGAGATGGGAGGGAGAGGGCCGCACACACACACACACACACACACACACCATCATGAGGTTAATGTAATGCTGCCGTTAATTGCTATCGGTGGGGACACCTTTACAAGTACCAGTATAGTATAGAGGGTGCTATTGGATCTGATGCCTGATACTGGTATCGGCATAGATGCATCCCTAATAAAGAGTGTGGAATTATGTTACTGACATGGCTTCTTCATGTAGGTATTTATTACTATAAATATGTTGTCTTTTGTCATTTGTAATTGTGACTTGAAGTGGTAATCTCTGTGTGTACATCTAATCTCTTTAATATTCTTGCAGATGATGGCTCATTCCCTTATAAGACAAAGTATGAACAGCGGCACAGAGTTTCCTTAACAGAGCGTTTTACAGAGGCTGACCTCAAAATTTTATCTGAACTAAATCCACCTGCCCTGATGCAGAATGGGAATGTGGGCACACCAGTGAAAGTGTTCCTCCAGCTCATCCAGACCTGCCGCCTGCCTCCTCGACTCATCCGGAAGTTGGGCCTCACTTTCCCCAAGACCAGCTCCAACCGTCGTTACGGCAATGTGCCTTTCCAGTATCAGCACACTTGCACTCTTCCAGCCACGGAGGAGACTGTGTTAACAGCAACTGGACATGAAATATCTGGACCAGGCACTTTGGCCCCATCCTCCAGATCAAAACAGCTGGCTGATCACACAGAGACAACAGAGACTTATGAGCCACAGAAAGATGGGGAGGACACCCAGTCAAATCCAGATGATGTGGGTATAAGTATAAATATGTCAGTATGCATAACACTGTGTAAATGCATTGTTGTTATTAGCTTGTGTATGCTTTGATATAGCGTTGGCTGAATTGTCATCATCATCATTTCAGTGTAGTTTTCTAATTTTTTTTTATCTGGTTGGTTGTAGGATGATGACTGCTGTGAGGAGTGGGAGCGCCATGAGGCTTTGCATGATGATGTAACCAGCCAGGAAAGAAGCAAAGAGAGGCTGTATGAGGAGGAGATTGAGCTGAAGTGGGAAAAGGGTGGCTCAGGCTTGGTGTTCTACACTGATGCCCAGTACTGGCAGGCAGAAGAAGGCGGTATGCCACCAAAGCATTAACCATCCAGTTTTATCACCTTGCAGAAGCCTCCCTTCCTCTATAAATATAGGAAATATAAAAAAAAAATCATATATTAAGTTATCTGACTGATGTTAAGCTGTGGAGGTCTTAACTGAAATGTTCATTTTTAGCTTCTGTTGTTTAGTATTTCAGGAATAATTTTGGATGAAATCTAACATGGTCATTTTTTGTATTGTTCCACAAATTTCACTCAACAATTATAGTAATAGACATTAAAAGATCATGAATCCTTGAAAAATCTGTCAGGATCTAAACAGAATCGTTCACATGTATAGGATTTTTTTATCACCGCTATTTTAAATTACATGGATCTGTTTGTTGAAATATTGATTGCATTCATGCCTCTTCCGTCCTTGTAGATTTTGATGAACAAACAGCAGATGACTGGGATGTTGACATGAGCGTTTACTATGATAAAGGTATCTCGAGTTTGTTATACATCTGTGATTACACTGAGTGATGAAGGAAACCAAAATGTAAATTGTCTCTGCAGAGTCAGATTTTCTTTACTCTGGCTCTTCCTTTCACAGATGGGGGTGACATGGATGCTCGTGATTACGTCCGAATGCGGTATGAAAAACGGCTGAGGGAAGGTCTTGAAGATGGATCTGGACACGGTCACTCTATTGGCAGCTTTGAGAGGTTCACTAAGGTAATGCAGTTGCCACAGCACATAATTTAACTCCAACTTTGCATTATAGACTATGAGCAATTTTCTGATATTTTTACTTTTTAGGGCTTTGGCCGTCGTGTGATGGAGAAGCAGGGTTGGAAGGATGGTGAAGGGCTAGGAAACAGCCAAACTGGGATCCCTGAAGCCCTTGAGAATGAGGGCCAACATCCCAACTGCAAAAGGGGCTTTGGGTAAATATAAAAATAAAAACAGAAATTATAACATATGATTGAATTAAGTTAATGTGCACAAATTTCTTGCTTTCCTAATACTGTTATACATTTTTTGTTTTAAAGGTATCATGGAGAGAAGCTGGCCTTACATCCTGTGAAAAAGACCAGAACAGATTTTCATATAACTACAGTGTATGATGAACCCAAAGACATAGATGGAGGTGACATTTTGCTCAGACGCCAGCCGAACACCAGTTTGAAGTACAGACACTGGCAGCCAGGTGGCAGCATTGGGTCACAGAGATAACTTTAAATTAATAATTTAGTACATGTATATTTATAAATTACTTATTTGTCTGCTTTCTATATTAAAACCGTTCATTATTGCTTGTGTTGAATTTGTCTTTTTACTTTTTATATGCACTTTTCACAATGTAATCAGACTGTTGACCAACTATCACACAAAAACCATTTGGTTAAATGCCTTGTATTTCTATGTAACTGTATGGACTAGATTAATTGTGTAACCAAGCGCCAAGTTGAAATAATATATAAAGTACTACAGTGAGGCAGCCTGAACTAGTTCGTGTTCTACCCGTACTGTATGAAATAAAGAACAGCTTTTATTTTGACACCTCGCCTACACAACCCGGAAGTACTATGTGTAGCTTAGCCATTAGCTATCGTACAGTGTACGCATGCGAACACAACAGCGGTAAATTGTAGGTAGTTGGTGGCGCTTGTTAAAATTAAAGATTCTCGATAGAGTTTACTGCATTAGTTTTATGCTATACAGACTTTTAATTAGGGCTGGCTGGATAATGTTTACAAATTCTCTTCGTGTGTGTAGCTCAATGCTGATCATTGACATTTATTTACCCTGTTAAATATCGAGGTGAATATAATTTAATAGAAATTGTGAGCACAAGTAAAGGCTGAACTTGCACCAAGCTACTTTAGTCCTGTTACGTGACCCTACGACGTAAGAGTACGCTGGATGCTCATACCTTTTCACAGGACAGTGCTTGTGGCTCCATCCGACACCTTGTCTCATCTAATGTGAACCTTTGCAGCCCCTCAGTCTAGTTTGCACTGAAACCATGTCCAGCCTGCCAAGAGCAACCCCCTCTTTACGTTTCGGTCAGGTGGTCATTGGACCCCCAGGCTCAGGTAAAACCACTTATTGTCGAGGAATGCAAGAGTTCCTGACTGAACTGGGACGTAAGGTGGTTGTGGTGAACATGGACCCTGCTAATGAAGGACTGCCATATTCCTGTGCGGTAGACATCTCAGAGCTGGTCACTCTGGGCGATGTTATGGATGGCTTGAAGCTTGGGCCCAACGGTGGGCTCCTCTATTGTATGGAGTATGTTGAAGCAAATCTGGACTGGTTAGAGAACAAGCTGAAACAGCACAGTGACTGTTACTTCCTGTTTGACTGTCCTGGACAAGTGGAGCTCTACACCCATCAGAGTTCAGTAAAGAACATATTCTCACAACTGGCTAAGTGGAATTTCAGGGTGAGCTTCTTAAACAGTCAGAGATGGGAATGATCTCATGTCCCCTGAGCTTTAAATGTTTATATGCCATCATGCACATACAACACTGATTAAATGTTAAGGTCATTTAACCTTTAGCTGTTAAGGCTGTTTTTCTCCACTTTCTTGCTCCTTGTAGCTGACTGCAGTGCACCTTGTGGACTCTCATTACTGCGCTGACCCAGCCAAGTTCATTTCTGTGCTGTGTACCTCCCTGTCGACCATGCTGCACGTGGAGCTTCCTCATGTCAACGTCCTCTCCAAAATGGACTTGATTGAGCAGTATGGCAAACTGGGTATGTAAAGGGTTGTTGGATTTAGCTCGAACTAAACAATTGTTCCCACACACAAACAAATTACAAATGAGGACAGAGCATTTTTATGTCAGTTAAATTTACCACTAACATTTTTTTCTGTCTGCACTCCTACAGCCTTCAACCTTGACTTCTACACAGAGGTTATGGATCTGACCTATCTCCTTGATCACCTGGCTGCAGACCCCTTCTTTAAAAAATTCCACCATCTAAATGAAAAGTTGGCAGAGGTCATACAAGACTACAGCCTTGTTTCCTTTGTCCCTCTCAATGTAGAGGTATGACTGGTTGTTGTTTCCAATTCTGGTTACATATTACAAAAAATGGTCCACAGTGACTCAGGCTCAATACTACGGTGTACATTGTAGCCAGTAGGAACCGATGTTGCTATAAATCAGGTGAATTACAATATGGTAAATAAATCAGTAAATCACGAGTAGAGTCATGGAGGATAAGAGTAATTCTTGTACCCATTAATAACTAACTTCATGTTTTGACTAGATGAAAACACTTAATATATTCTTACTACCTCTGCCAAGGAGGCTATGGTTTTGCTGACATTTGTCAGTTTATTCACGGCACAACTGAAAAGTAGTGAATGTTTTTTAGTGAAGTCCTTTGCAAAATTAGGGTAAGACCCATGGGAAAATCTATGGATTTTGCTTCTGCTCCAGATCATCATTTGGATCCAGGAATTTTTTTTAAAGCATTTCTTCACAATGGTGAGATATGGCCAGTTTCAGTATTCTTGCTTCTACTTGCTTCTAACTCCAGTGCACACAGTGCCTACAATTATTGGACAAAAATTGTGTCCAAACATTGTAGAGTGCTCCCTTCCAAGAATTTCTTTAAAAAAAAAAAAATCATTCATTGCATATTTCCTCATTTGAACAGGTAAATTATAAATCACTTTTAGCATTTTAAATTTTAGACTGGATCTATTAATTACAGATGGTTTGGGCTGTTAAAAAGCAGTGGGCTGTCTGCATACTGTATTTGTTCCCTGACATTACTTCTTTAAGGTGACTGATTTGATCCTGTGTGTGTGTCTGTGGGTGGGCGTGTGTCTAGACAACTGTGCCATCACTGCATGTGGTACTAGTAATTCATACAAGTAGCAGGTTGGCAGTCAGGAAATGCAGCCTTGATACATTTCTCTTTTCTACACCCTGTTAATTAAACAGCTGCTGGTTATCTTGGTTACCAATGACACCTAACACAGAAAATTTTAAATGCAAAAACACAACACTTTTAACCTTGAGAGATATGATGATAAACTGGTGAATATTTTGATGCCAATGAAAGTTGGGGTTTTATGCTTTTGCTTGCATGTGTGGCTTGTCTGAGTGCCAAACCTTGATACAAATAAAAAACAAGGCTGAAGAGGCAGCATTACATTTCCAAGAAGGTTTCAAAGAATGGTACCTTCATGCAGTAGATCTGACTGAAAGAAAACTGGGGCATATCAAACACATCAGATATATAACACAGACTTGTGTTAGGATTACTTCTATATACTTCATATTTTACACTGGTTACTAGAAGACAGAAAAAAAACTGTTGTTTTCACACAATCAGGTTTTAGAGAGTTTTCAGCAAATCTGTCAGTGGGTTGCTTTGGTGAATGTCTGCAGGTCTTTTGATAAATTATTTCTCTCTTCTCTCTGTAGGACAAAGAGAGCATGATTCAGGTCTTACGAGCAGTGGACAAGGCCAATGGTTACTGCTTTGGAGATCTGGAGGAGAGGAATCTGCAGGCCATGATGTCAGCTGCTGTGGGGGCAGACTTCCAGTTCAGCTCGTATCCTTCCCTAATCACTGTGGTGACTCACTGTGACTCATCTGTTTTAAAGTCATACCTTAAGGTTTACGGGACATGGTTGAAAAAAACAGAATATTCTGGTGTTTATAATGACTTGTGATGAACGATGGCAAAAGTAACCAGAATCTTAACAAAATAGGTTTTAATTGTGTTGCGTTATGTTATGTTTTCCTTCACATTTGACCCTCCAGTACTCTTGGAGTGCAAGAGAAGTATGTCGAAAGCAGTGGAAAGACTGTGGAGGAAGAAATGATGGAGCTGTAAACTGAAAAGCTCAAATAAAGGGACAAAACCAGTTGTTTTCTAGCACCAGTACACCAAGGGAGTCTTTGCAACATCCATCTCACTTGGCCTGAATTCTGAGCCTCTCTACAAATGCAGTGGCGAGACGGGAGCTAAATTTGGGTGCTGTAGATGCTTCAAGGTTGCACCCCACCTCATAAAATTCACCAGGGGCTGACTGAAGGAACTAAATGCTGAGCTGCTCTTTAGTTATTAGCAAGCGAGGTGTGATTTATTCTTCTGTTGCTGTCTTAATAGACAACATTAAAGGAAAATTTCAATAAATGTCAATATTCTGTTAAAATGTGCTGAAAGTAAATGCCTCTTTTTTCCTTTCTGTTTTGAGTATGTTAAATGTTTGAGCCCCTGATACTTTTGAGGACTCGGGTAACTCTCCACAGTAAGCATCCAGAGATGCAACTCTGTATAGACGTATTCATTCAAACAATAAACATTGAATTGACTTGTAACTATAGATGGTGTTTTGCCCTCTCTACAGGAATGAATTAACTGAAAATAAAAGATTTGTGATATTTCTTGCTATACAGTTTAGTTACTGTGCATAAATGAAGTCTATAAAAATATTTTCTATTTTTGTATTATTTTATAAATAACATTATAACATAAATAATATAACCTTATAATTAAACAGGACTTGGGCTTTCTTCATACATGTCCTCCTTCCATGTGCCAGTACAGGATACAGCCAGAATGAATGAACCCTTAATTACAAATCCTGTCCATTTAATACAGTTTTGTTTGTAGGCAGAGCCTATGAAGGAAAACAGTGTTCGACTAATTAAACTTTAAACAAAGATCCATATTTAAAAACCAACTACAAGAAAACTGAGATTTCATTTTTTTTATACATATGCCTTTAGTTTTGAACACAGAGCTGATTCTTCTCAGCCTGGATGATACCAGTGTTGCACAAATCTATGTAGAGATGTTGTGCCATTCTTTACAGATGATTCTTTTCAGCTGCTCTCTGCTGGAGGGGTTTTATGGCTCTATGTTCCACTTTTAAATACTTAATAGTGTTAAAGTGTTCTAGTGAATCCAAGTTTTGCAATTTGTGCATGGGATCATTTTTCAAGGACAGCCACTGTGGCTTCTGTTTTTGATAGTATGGTTCTTCTTTTACCTCCTAACCAATATAACAACTGTGTTTAGGTTTATGTTCAGTAGACTACTGATGTCTTTGTACCCATCCCTGTCTTTATGGAGTCTTACAGTCTGGTTCCCTACTTGTTCAGTTTTTTTCCATGTTGCATGACACAACCCAATCCAAAATGGAGAACGCTGTGGCGTTCACAGTTTATTAATAACCTTGTTCATGTTGATGCAATCAGAATCAGCTTTACTGGCCAGGTGTGTTGAACATGAGGAATTTGACTCTGGTACAGTGGCTCTAAATGTGCATGTACAATGTCCTTCGGTAAGGCAGCGAGTAAACAAGATAAGACTGAGAGAACAAGAAAAGAAAAAGAATGTGCAGACAAGAAAAAGGAATGTGCATTAAGAAAATAAAAATAAAGTACTAAGAAATATAAAATAGCCTTGTTTGGAAATCCTAAGTGTACTCACTTTTGTTGCATTGAGTTTAGGGCCCATATTTTTAATGTTTGTTTCGAATGGTACATAATATAAGATGGTACCATTTTGAATATATCACCTTGATATGCAGTGACATATAATGGAACCTGACAACTGTCAGTGCCTCAGAGATGCAAGTGTGTGTGTGTGTGTGTGTGTGTGTGTGTGTGTGTGTGGTGGATGAGTAACAACTATCATTAATTTCTTATCTTTATTGCGATAATTCTTACTTGCTAATTGATTTAATGTCCAACCGATCTGATTTCCAATTTTTAAGAAAGATTTGGGTGTCTGAAATGTGATAACAAACACATTTACACTATGTATAATAGACTTTGATAGTTATACCAATCATACATTTGCTAAGCTTTCTGTTCAGTGAAAAGGGTTAGCATGCAACATTCTGAGAAAAAATGAAAATGATGTAATGTCATGAATCTAAAGGCAATCATGGGCTACTTGTTTAATAAAATAACTATATAACGTCAATAGAGCATTTTCAACAAAGGTGAGGAATCAAAAACATCAGAAGCAGCAATGTCTTTGGCCAGGATAGTTCACGTGTGTTTGGTCTGTTTTTTTTCCCAGCAGATGGCATATGTGCTTGACAATCCTCCTCCTAGATCCACAAAGCTCTGCTCCAACTTTTCCCAACAACCAGAGCAGAAAAACTAAGTCAGGCGGGGAGAGGAAGCCACATTAAATCTGTGTTTCTGCACAACTGGCCCTGTGTCTGTTCTCTGGGATGGAAGACTCACTGTCTTTCTTAAAGCAACTAAAACTCACATTACTTAGAAATGTCACTCCTTCTAGTCTTGCTATTGTTGTACTCGTCATACACCTTGTAACCTTGCTTTAAACATAACACCCTCGTTTTAATTACATCCTATAGCCTAACAAAAGTCTAGATGTACTCATATGCCCACGATAAAGACGAGGACTCGTGCGTGCACGCACTTCTCATTCAGTGTTGCAGTCAGACTAAAATAAAGCGTGATCCACTTTGCGAGCTCGCGCTGATGTAGGAAATGACATTAACCCTGTGTGGTATGACGTAGCTGAGAAAATATATGTGGACAGCTTCTTGGCTGCAAAGCTCTCCGGTCTCCGTGCATTAGGGGGGTGTGTCAGGCAGAATGTTAAATTCTGTACTGATGTTTGTACATGTGATCAAGTATGTCTTCTCACTGGTACTTCCTGCCTTTTTCCCTATAAGCCCCCTAGAGGTAGGTGTGTGTTTCTCTCTCTCACACACACGCACAGAGCAGAGAGTTTGTGTGTGTAGAGAGTGAGAAAGAAAGCGAGGCAATCATTTCCTCATTTACACTCAAAAATTATTAATTTCAAATCAATACCCAGTCTAACTATTAAACACTTCATTAACCATATCACGTATTTACATCGAATTAGTTTTTAGAAAAACTGCCTCAGCATCGCACACACACTTCTCATTACCATCCTAGCCATGCTCAATGTTGTGCACACACCCTGTGCGTTTTATGGATGCCAAAAATGTCTGCCTCGTTTGACTGAGAATGGGGAGGCAAATTTTCAATTTGTCTAATAGTTGAACGACTCTGAAAGTGTTCGCGCATCTTATGTCTGGTAGATAAGGTCAGTTTTTTTCTGTACAGCGTAGTTTGGTTTGGTGAGAGAGAGAGAGAGCTGGAGCCGTGCGCCCATCCCCCCACACTCAGCAGAGGAGTGTTTCTGCTGGAGTGAGAGACAGAGAGGAGAGGGGGTGGTAGAGGAGAGCAGAGCACAGGCGAGTAGGCAGGGGAGGGAACAAGAGGGAATGTGCATTGGTAGTCTCGTTTGCTGCAAGGCTTCCTCCTTCTGCTGTTAGAAAAACCTGTGCGTTGCCTTTGCTTGCCTAAACACCACTCAGATTCACATGTGGGAATTAACTAAAAACACGAGCGCAGGCAGAATTTGGAGCTGAATACATTTATAAATATTGCTGTTACCTTTTTTTCTCAAGTGATAATTATATCTCTATTACAAGCCAAACGGAAAATAGTTCCCACTATTAATTTAGTTTCATTTCCATCTTTCAGTGTGTGCAGCACATACTGTTGTGATTTCAACATCTGTATCCTATAGTTCTTTTCCCCCATGCTCACAAAATTCATCATGCATATGCATATTTTGGAGTGCACAACATCTTTGGGTGCTTGATTAAAACTTAACAATGTTTGTAACATTAGTGGGTTGTGTGAACATTAGATTCTCTTCAGGTGGGGAAAATAATCCACCTAGATAGAAAGAGGACAGTGTAAGACTAGAAGTCCACTCCGCACTGGGGCAGATCCAGCCCATGCTTTGCAGCCGTCTGTGCGGCTCAGTAAAATGGCTGTATCTAGCGGAGGAGCCTCGTGTTGGTTGGGTTCGCTCCCTGTCTCTACCCGGGCTCAGTAACACAACTCCCACAACAATTTCTGTCGCTTTTTTACGCATTGTATGGAGCCTCCGTCATCTCTCTAACCCACTTACGGAACCGGAACCGGGGGATGGCAGCCGGATTCGGTCCGGTATAAGGGGTGGGAATGAATCGGCGCAAGGATAAATGGTTGTAAACAATTATTTATATTCAATGCTAGCTTTTGATTGTGACTGACTCGCCGACGCCCGCGGCCCCCCCCCCCGCCACTCTTAACACTAGCCCGCCTTCAGAACTCAAAAAGCCGGATCGGGACCCCAAGGAGGAGTCGGTACCGGGGGAGAAGCAGTCAGACAAAAAACAGCCGGGCTTGGATAGTGGATCGCCGGGCCGGGGGGATCTGCAGGACGGGGCCGACGGTGGAAATGCAGGGGGAGGAGGGGAATCTGAGATGAAGAACGGGAATGGGAACCCGCCCAGAGCTAACAATAATAACCAGAATGACTCTGTCGGACCGGAGGGAAATAACCATCCCAGTTTAGTGCATCACCACGGCCCCGGTTTTCCTCCACCTTCGTACGGATACAGTCAGCACTACGGTCGGGCCCCTTTTCATCAACATGGCGGACAACAAAGCCCTGGCATGGCAGCTGCTGTGGGTCCGGTCGTGCAGTCGAGCAACATGATGGACCCGTATCAACCTAATTCACACGAACATGGCTTTTCGAACCATCAGTTTAACAATTACAACCCATTCCCGAACAGGACTCCCTACCCCGGCCAAGCATTCGCCATGAACTCTCCTCGCAGTACCCAGGCGCCGACAGCTGGGGGGCAGCCAGCTAAGCAGCAGCCACCAGCGGGAGGACCCACGGCGATAGCCGGATCTTACAGTAACCAGAGATATAATATTGGAAACCCTCAGCCTACATCCACACCGACACTCAACAAGCTCCTAACCTCCCCCAGCTCAACGCGGGGTTATCCGACTTACCCGTCTAGCGACTACAGTAGCCAAGAAGGAGCTAGTAAGGGACCAGCAGACATGGGCAGTAGCGGACAGTATGGAGGGAGCAATCCGGGTTGGCAACAAAGAAGCCATCACCCGTCGCCTATGAGCCCGGGAAGTGCCGGGCAGCCGCTAGTTAGAAACCAGGTAAGATTACAGGAACATGATGTGGGCTTTAG